TTCCCCATCATCGTATTTTGAACAATCCCAGTATGTCTCATTGAATGCTCAATTCATACTTCAGTTCGATAATAAACCATAAAGTACTAAGCGTACGAACAGTATGCGTTGCCCGAGACAAGGTTTCGGTAATAGCGGCATCTTCTTTCCTCACTTGCTATGGGAAGCAAGAAAGCTGATGTAGGAGAAGAGGAGGAGTTATTCAGCGGTGGATGTACTAGAACAGGTTGAAATAGAATAAAAATAACTTCTAAAACAGGTTGGAATGTGATAATGATGATAATGAGGTATCGTTAGAATAGGGGGTACTGGAACTGGGGACGGTTAGTTAGATTATTTTATGATATTAATACAAATTCACATAGCATAACACAGCCTATTTCCATGACACTAATATATCAAATCGATCTTTGATACGTAATTTTAATTAGCGTTATCAAAATATGTACACACTTTGGTAACAGTGTGACGGCAAAATTAAACTATTTGACAACAAGCAAGTCATACAGCAAGGCGCAAATCTATTTTAAGGTTGGTTAAGAAATTAAAGTTTTTCGAAAATTCAACATCGAACATTTTACAGGTTTTTTAATTACTTATTTACATAGTACAGTATTTTAATTTCAAAACTATACTTTTCCATTGATATAATGGAATTGTGTTATGATGCTTAAAAACTATGTATTATAGTGTAAAATATCTTTTTTTATATAATAAATCAATACTTAATCGATATTTTAAGATAATATACATTTAATTCATATATGACAACACAAGCCCGGCTAGCTCAGTCGGTAGAGCATGAGACTCTTAATCTCAGGGTCGTGGGTTCGAGCCCCACGTTGGGCGACTCCTTTTTGTTTTTAATAATTCGCACCCTTTTAGATTTTTTACTCTAAATATTTTATTATATTTGGACAACCGCGCTCGGTGTAAACAAGTGAAGCATTAACAATGCTCTAATAATTCAATAAATGTCATGGATCAATTGATATAAGCATAAGTTAAATTCGAAAGATTTACAAGTAAAGTTTTTATAAGTAGATGATAATTAATTCCTATAAACAAATTAAATCAAAAGTAAGCATGATTGTTTTATCATATAAGAGAAACAGTATTTTTCAATTGGCTGCGGAAAATATTCTCATAAATCAAATGTCTTATGTATGTAAACTTTTTAAATATGCTGAATAAAAATACCTGATTTATCAATGATATGTTATGTTTTTCCCCTAGGACTTGTCCAAATTTTAATAAGAGACTGAAAATATAGTGAAAATAAATTTTTAGAATTATTTGAATGAATATGAATTTATTTTAATATAATTAACTTTAATGGTAATGTTATTTTGAGACCCATCTACATGGTGCGATTGTGACCTGCACTTTTTTAAAATTCATTCTATTCTTCCACAACAGATGGAGCTTAAATAAAAGTCTATTCCAAAACTTGTACTTTAATTATCCTAGATGGCACCATAAACTAGTTTGAAATAAGATAATTGAGATAACTTTGTAAAGTAGTAGTATCTATCTGTAAATAGTAATATCATGTCATGATAGAGTTTTGATATATTTCAACTTTCCTTCGAATTATTTATGTAGTAACATTTTTATAACACCTTAGAATTTAACTAAAATCCTTCGTATCAATAACATTAGGCTATCCCCTATTCCTCCACTCCTCTTTTTTTTAACTATTTTCTTTGGTTAATATTATACTCAACAACTTCATTTTTTAATTTATTACAGGTATATGAAATATTAATTATAAACTAACATCGTTTTTTTTTTTGTTTAGGTAACTTACTGCATACGTGTAATAGTCTACCTACCGTAAGATTATTAATATTGCCTGTTAATTATATTACTTACTCTTTGTTTTATGGACATATACATCGATGGAGGCAAATTGCAATTGGGATTGGAGTTGCAAAGGTTAGCTAAATATAACTAAATTAACTAAGATCGTTAGGAGTCGCAGTAAAGTAGCCTACTTCAACGAGATTCTGTTCTAGCTGCTGTTATCAAGTTCAAGAGAGCGAAATGAAACGATAAGCTGAGTTCTCGACACCTAGGTCTAGGTGGAACCCTCGTAACAATATTTATCGTTGAACATCTGACTCTTACAAAAATGACAATGATTAATATGTATACTGTTGGTATGTATAATAAATAAATGTCTTCGATTAACTAAACTACTACTAATAAACAAAGAGTAAGAAATATAATTAACTAAATTTCACTTGTACACCACTTCTTACTTCACACCTTACTTTCATTCACTTTAGGTTGACTTACAATTCCTTTCATTCCCCTGCCTGTAAAGTAATTCTATTTAAAATGAAGAAACTCACCGGGCGACAATGCAAATAAAAACAAAAAATGTATGATGCCCATTTTCTTACGTACCATAGAAATAACAACTTGCCTGCATTCCGCATATTTGTTGGAAATCAATGTGGCTGAGAGGAGATGATGGCTGCACTAATGAAGCGCTTAAAGCATTATATAACAGTAAGATAATTAAAATATGTAGGAAAAAAGCCCGAAAAGTTTTTCACCTCTACGGGAATTAAGCCCACTTTTTCCAGATTCGCGCCCTGATTCCTTCCCTACTAAGCTAAACGGCTGATTGCCACAACGACGAAACTCTCAACGTATTGTCCTGCATTGTTTGTTCGCATTGTAACGTTTTGTTAAATGAGTGTGATAGTTAATGATGGGAAGATTTAATAAAAGATTTATTAGCAGTTAAGAAGTTGTATTTATCTCTTCAGTTTTAAGTTACAATCCCTGGACTAGCTCAGATACAATATATTTTAAATTATAATAATAATAATAAGTTGGGCGCCTTGTCTGTTAGGAACAGACTGTTGTAATAATTACAATTAAGTATCTCAGGCAGTCGTGAGTACATAGGACCTACACATTACTTTGTGCGACCATAAAAGGTTAAATAATTAAATTAATTTCAGATTATGAAAGTTATGCAATTCAATTCAAAAACAAAGTCCAATCAGGTAGTTATTTTAAATCTATGTCACTGCAGACACCTGGTCAGCGTTGAGCTCAGAACCAGCAGAGAAAATCAGGCCAAGTGTAGTGTGCACAGCCACACAGTTGGGGGGTATGTATGTATGGGAGACCAACTGGAGGTAAAAAACAATATTTAATCAAGCAGCAGCTCAGACCAGCTTGCCAGCCACCTTGCCTTCAGCATACACCACGAGTGATAACAAATCCAGCACAGAGGTTCCCAGACAGGAATCACAAATAATACGACCAGGAACGTGTTCTGATTTCAACCTCTAGCCATGCACGGTCGAAGATAATAGATCCACAAAAACTAAATTATAGAATGTCAATTCGAACCGGCGGCAATCTCAAATGACAAGTACCAACAAATGAACTTAACTTTTTGATTCGACCTTTCGAAAAGGCAAAGGTTCATAGGACATGCAGCCTAGTCTTTAGAAAAACAACAATTTCGACAAAGTGATGAAATCACCCGTTACAGCATTTAAGCAATGTCTGGCGCATCTATTATTATGTCCTTTAAAAACGATAATTCGAAAGAGAAATGTCGCCATTGCTATTTGAAATTAATTTTCTTATATGCTAATAAAATAATGCTAATCTCAGTATTTAAGGTGAAAATTAAAATTTGTATAAAATTAGATAGTTGTCAAATAGTATTGTTAAGAAACAAATATAAACATATATACGTGTCAAGCACACAAAATCCATGGCATAACTACGTTTTTTTAGATATAATTTAATTTTTAATGAAATTAATGTGTCCATTGTTATGCAACAAGTAACAAGTAACGTAAGGCAATACCCAATTTTTTTAAGATGAAATTCCATTACGCTTAGTCTTAGGAATTCACTTTGACACTTGCAAGATTTACACAGCGCGCTTCTAAAACAACAATATGTTCCAATCCGTTGAAGTAATTGTTAAAACATCTCAGCAATCGCAATTATTTGTCAAACTCTTAGCGCTGTGTTGTTGAATGCCGGCAGGATTTCCCACTGTATTGAGAATTTATGTAAATATAATTCCTATGTGCATTGGCAGATACGATGGAATTTAAAAGCCGTTTGACATAATGTAACTGGTACGAAAATGTTGTACTCAAGGTATCTATGATCGTCTTCTGTTTTTTGGCTTCTTGTCAAATGTATCTTGGAACAGCTGCAAGTTCATCGAACGCATTTTCGTTTTAAAATTATTATTACTACTGAATGATGTTGGCTTAAACAGTGACACAATAGTCTCATTACCACACCGAGATATTACTGTATTTATATAGAAGAATATTTTGCAACCTAAAGATGTATTGCTATTTTAAAATTACTATTAAATATTGTAGTATGTTTTGAGGAGTCGGTAAATGATGTGGTCTAAGCGAGATCCATCATCTGTAGACTTTGCTAAAACATGGGTCTCTTATAAATCAGTTATGTATTTGCGGCAATTTCTGTAGAAAGTTTAGGTTTGTGGGGTTAAATTTTTGATCGAATCATGCTCTCGACTTATGCAGCTGTGGATAAGTTAATTTTTGCTCAAAGGTTAAGTAATTCAGTGAGGAACTGCAGCTTGCTTTCTTGTCGCCATGCCACGTATGCTAGATATTACAAATATTTTATATGGTAAATAACGTGACAAATTGTATAGCAAGTAACTGACATTAAAAAAATCACTCTGATCCTTTGTGAGGCCTTTGTATTTCCCTGGAAGAGCTCGAATAATGTTTACATATTTATTCGAATACATTCATTTTCATATGCAAAAGTTTTTTTGCATTCATATAGATCGAAAAAGTACTAAAAACTATTCGAATTACGCGCAATGTACAGTGTACAGTGTCGCTGATGTCTTGAGTAATTGCTTCCTTTGTGAGGTTGTTTAAAGCAATTTGTGTAGTTTATATAAAATAGAAATGACACGCAAATCGCGTTTATTTCGTCGAAACTGGTGTGGAGACTGCAAGATGGCTACGCTGTTTTCACTGGGTTTCATGATCTTGGGTAAGTAGGGTATATAACAGGTAATTTTTCCCTAACTATACATTCGCATATTCCTTCATAAGAAATAAGACTTGAATTTGTGTCTGATGGATTTCTTAAAATTCTTTGTTTTTCTTTTCTGTTCCATGTACATTCTTCTGTCATAAATACTCTTCCCTGAATCTGTCATTTAGTACCTATTCTCTCTCTTCATAAATGCAAATATTATTCTTGGAGTAGAGCATATTCAGTAACTATTACTTTATTATTACTTTGATGTTTAGATAATAATAATAATAATGTTTACTTGCACAAAACATGGAATAGAGATGCAACAAACATAGGCACCTATCATGTCATGCCACGACCATGCAAATATAATATATAGATGTAATATAGAGATTAATAACAGTGGGGAGAAAAGAAAATTTAAATAATCTAATTGACACATGCGAAATTATCGCACATTACCGTGAGCAGTCATCGAATGGTAATATAAATATTTGTAAATAAGTGTTTATCTATGAATAGTATAAGGTATCTTATTTTGAAGATTGACATTTTTCAGTCTACTTCACTATCTTTGACATAAATAAATTGTCACTAGATTTTTTTTTATGTGAGAAAGTGCTAAGCGAGCTGTCGGTTCACCTAATTTTAAGTGATCACTGCCGACCCTTGACATTTGCAACACCCGTATGCGTTGTCCTCTTTTTTTTTTTAAAACATTGCCCTTACTTTAGGATAACATTATCCTGTGTTGTAAGGACATTTTACAAACATAAATTTCACGCGGACAAACACCCAGATGCGAAACAACTATCTGTGGGCCACACAAATAGTTGTCCCGTGTGGGAATCGAACCCACGACCCCCGACGCCGGGCCAATACCTTGGCAACTACGCCACGAAGTCAGAATATAATAAAGTGGGCTCCGGCGACCTCACTCCCCAGAGGAAACGCAGAAGTATTATACTTCCACTTCACGCCGGTCTTCTGTGAGGTCGTGATCCGACTACAGTTTAAATAGATCAACATAGAGAGATTGACAATTATTTCTATGTGTTTTTACACCCTCTCTTCTAGCCTTCAACATAATCGATTTGTGTCTGCAAATCGTTGCAATGTGCGACCAGTCCTGCTTTTCCGCTTGTAGCTGCTTTTTCCATATTTTTCAGTCACATCGGATCTTACGCAATCATTTAATCAAAATTGGATTTTGGCGAGGACGAAGAATCCACGCCTGTAGTGAATAATTCGAGTAAAGAAAATGAAGATGTGGAGGTGAAACATACGATTGTTGTATCCACGAAGCTGAAGAATAACAACAGAAGAGGCCTGCAGAATTCTCGCGATGGTGAGAAATTTGATTATTTTCCAGAAACAGAATAAAAAAATACTGAAACTACTGTATTAAAACAGATAGGGTTTTTATTTGAACTTAATAAGTTTGTTTAAAAGTAAACTAAAGTGAAATAGTCTTCACGATGATGTCAGTCAATCGGCCTCCGGAGCGCTTGTATTCAATGGCTTTTTTGTGTAAGAAGTTGGCAAACGAGATGGTGCTTCACCTGATGTTAAGTGATAACCGCCGCCTATTAACAGTTGCAACAGCCGTAGAGATGCAGATGCGTTATAAGTTTATAATAAGTTGGGCCCCGGCTACCTGACTCACCAGGCAAAACGAAGAAGTATAACGATTCCACTCCGGTCTTCGGTGAGGCCCTGGTATTTATGCGGACGGACCTGCCCATTGCAATGCATGCAAGAGAGAAAACTGTTGCGTGGCCCTGCGGTACTCGAAATATTGTTTCATTTACAAGTATAAGAAACGAGAATGAAACAACAAAAAAAAAACTTGGGTAATCTAGTACTACACTACAAGGACAAAAATTATTCCATTACGTTCACAGATAACCCTGATCCTGCGATGCACAGGTCTGGTCTATTCCTGAACAGAAAGAAGGAAGATAGTGGAGAAGTCCCTGTGATAAAAGGTTACAAAGCGCTGGAGACAACGCAAATCTTAACGCCCGATACTCGTCTGAAGTCGCCAATCAATGCTGTGAATGCACCTGTTTGGCACAATACACCGGACGAATATGACATTTATCCAAACCAAGCTATAAACCCGATGCAGTTCAAACCGTCCAACTTCTACAACAACATCAACTGGTGGAGTCAAGACGATGCAATGAGTATAAACAACTTCATCAGACGAAACTACGCAACAAGTTTTCCAAATACCAGATCCGTTTTTCATAGAGACTTAACTGAGGACGGCGTTAGTGACTTTTACTGTAAGAAATGCAGAGAGATGGGCGGTGGGCACGGAACGCGTGGATGCGTACAGCAAAGTCGTAACCCTTGGCACAATGTGAATACAACGCCGAGGGTTAAGATTGACGGCAAATTAGCCAAATTAAATTATCGTGTCATTATTCCGTTCGACATGCCGTGACCGCGACGAGCAAAAACACATCCGAGATATCTAGATAACCTTGAGGAATATAGACGCTGTATGTAAAACGTTCATTGTCGCTGGTACTTCGAAGTTAAGTAAATTCGAAGCTAAGTTAAAACATTTCTAGATTCTTGATAGGTACTATTACATTCGGAATAATGTGAGGTTGGATGTGCAATGAAACAAATGTTAAAAACGCCAAATTGTTATATTTTGTAAATATGCAAGCAATTTTCGATTTTGTTTGATTTCTTCATAAATGCGATTGAATTATTAAGGACTAAATATTTAAATAACATTATATCTGGAGATGATGGATGGCGTTCTAAAATTTAGTATTTATTTATTTCATTTTCTTTCGTTGTCATTTAACTATGAACGCTGTATTTGGTGACATGTCCGCGGTCGTTGACGACCGTCTCGGCGCCTCTTTGGCTCTTCAATTGACCGTTGTCGTTCACCGAAGACGCGTACGAGGAACTGGAGACACTGTAGAAGTCATTGCCTGGACCGTTGCTGTTCTGTGGATATTGGCTCGACGTGTCTACGTTCGGCATACGCTAAAAAAATTTCAAATGATTAAGACCTTACGTAGTACCCAAGCCAGCCCCGATTTAGACACTAAAGAGCCTGATCTAAGAATTTTTTTTAAGATCTCGTAAAAAAACGATAATTAAAAACTGCTTAACACACAACGTAACACGTATGTCTTTTTTGTGAAACACCAAGTGATTCCCATTGCTGTTCAGTTTGTCATAATTTACATTATGCCGGTTAATCTTTACATAAAATTTGAATGGCAGTCTTTATTTAGGTGACTCCGTGGCGGCGTTGCCAAGGTATTGGCTTCGGCGTCCGGGTCGCCGGTTCAATTACCACACGGGATAACTATTTGTGTGACTCACAGATAATCGTTTCGCATCTGGGTGTTTGTCCACGTGAAGTTTATGTTTGTAAAACGTCCTTACAACACAGGATAATATTATACTAAAGTAAGGTTGTTTTTTTTTTCAAAATAAAAAGAAAAGAAATAATTTAAACATACGTGCATAATGAGCATAATTTCTTTGAATATACCGTAAAAATATATACCGAAAATATACCATAGCAAAACTTTGATCCTTACTGGGTTTGCGGGGTTGATAGCAGCCACCTGATGCCTGTATCCAGGTCCAAGAGTCGCGGCTGCGAATGCACTGTTCCTGCCCGACATACCGAACTGTCCTCCGCCCCTGCTTCCAAAGTAGTTGAAATGATCGTAGGGTTGGAACCTATAGTCGAAATTCGGAATGTAAGGGATAAAGTTAAAAGCGTCGAAGGAGCTTTGTGCAGCTTCGAACGCCGCCCGCTGCTGATTCTCTATGTTACCAAGTATATCCCTGCAATACAAATCAGAGTTAGACAATAGCACACGATGGGTTAATAGTTAATGCCGGCGATCGAGCGAGTGAAAGCGAAGATAGAAGAATGTGCGGAGTGAAAGAGATGGAAAACACTGGACTGGAATAATCTATCGGTCTAACCTTAATGGAGCTAACGGCGGCAACGGCGGCAGCGGCGGCAACCAAGGAAACATGAACGGTAGGCGAAATGGTCTGAGCCGTGGTAATGGTCGCAACGGTGCCAAAGGCGGTAATGGCGGAAGGAATCTCCTAAATCTAAAATTCGGAATTAAAGTTTACTTTTTAGAGACAAGTCCGAACGCAGAACTAGGGTTTCATTTTGACCTTTGGATTTTTTATTCTCTATCTTTGGATTGATACTTTTAATAATAGTTGTAGCAAAAAATTTATTTTAGAGGTGTTTTGAGTATTCTTCTTCTGTATAATTTAACTACCGTTCCCCATTTTCTTTAGCTGTTTTGAGATATACATTCAAATAACATTTGAAAATGTAATTTCACTTAAGTCTTTGTCTTTAATGCACTAAAAGTGGAAATCTGGTGTCAGTAAGGTTTCTTATGGTCTGGTGAAATTAATAATTTTCTTTTAATTATGAATGTCACGAAATGAAGTTTTTTATTTATTTATATATTATGAATAAAAATGAATGAAAACGCAAATAAACGTTTTATGAGTGGAATGATTAACATGTATACATAGTCCTTCACCTTTGAAACTATCCCCAACTAAAGCCCTCAACCGGAAGCCAATAGCTTCTTTGATTGTGTTAAAAATCGCTTACTGCCAATTGTTGCCAACTGGGTCGTTTAATTTTTTAACGTTCGAAGATACAGACGAGTCGGAACCTGGGCTGTTAGGCTTGTATACGCATTCGTACCTATTTCCAGCAGTATCTACGTAGGCAAAAGCACTTGCACCTTCGGGGCCAGAAGAACCTGAAATAAACGAAAGTATATTACTGTTAGAGCCGTGATAGCTCAATGTTCGGAAGCTCGCCTTTAATTACATTTACTCGAGCAACCTGAGTTCGATCTCCGGTGCCAGCATCAATGCAATTGTTAATTTTAGGCGCTGAATTATCCCGTGCTCGGCGGTGAAGGAAAACATCATGAAGAAGTCTGCATAATTTCGAAATAATAATAAAAATAATATATCGTGGTGTAGCGTGGTTGACTATGTCCTGATACCCTCTACAGAGGAGGCATTTGCACAGCAGTGGGACATTTATAAGCTAGTACAAGCACAGTACTTATAAAATAAGTACTGTGCTTGCTGGCGAACTAGCAAAAACGCGTCTTGTAGCAGGTGAAAACAATATTTACTCGTAATTCTCATTGGGTTTTGAGCGCTGTAAAGGTTTGTATTTGCAAATATTTGATATTTAAGGATAGCATGCAAATCTGCATTATTATTTATGTATATATATAATATAGTATGCATAATGTATGAATCAGTCAGTTATAGTTGTATAGGATGTTAGAAATTTTGATTCTTTTTTATTTAATTAGTTTGATTGAAAAATATATTTTTTAAAATAATTAATATAATAATAAATAATTTTTTTTAAGTTTTATATTTTTCTATGATTATTGGCAAGTAGCGTTAGACGTGTGTTCATTTAATGTTGCTGAATAGCCCGTATTTTTGAATGAACTTCTGTGATCTAATAACAAAACGGAACGGAACCACCTAATTAACAGAGCTTGATCGTATTAAATTTTAAATGAAATATTTGTCGACCTCTATCAAATAAATGATAGCCACACTTTTTGGAAGTCAGAGCTATAATCTTGAGCACAAATATTACACACTGCACGGCCATTTTGAGTTTTGTGCTGTTATAAAAATGACTCATCCAGTCTCGTTTTAGTTCACGTGTAAAGCCAATAAAGATGTCAGAACTCTTAATGGTGGAAATATTTAAGCGTGTCGGGTAAAATGCGCATTGCGAGATCATCACGTTCGTTGAGAATGGGAAATACCGACTAGTAACTTAAGCAATTATAATCCAATTATATTAAACGATTCGCTGATGTCAGGATCAATAAACAAATAAAATAATTTAATTAAATGTTACTCACATCAGAGTGTAAGATAACACTAAAAGCAGCGATATAATTAGTCTTAGTCGAAACGGAAACGGCTATTATTAAAAATAATTTATGCGCAATGCGGCAAACGGGAAAAAAACTAATTCTGAGTAGGTACCACAGGTAGGTTAAAAGGAACACAGAACTTTGTTTGTACGTTTTCTACATGTTTTAAGGTACCAGAATTAAGCACCAGATAATTCCGAGACTGTCTTAATCAAACGAACGTTAATTAAAATACATTAATTCCGTTTAGAAAGCAGCGCGATCGATGCGGAGACAAAAATTTTATGCTAAATGAATTAATTCAGCTCAAACCTGTTGTACTCAGCAAGGCGATACACTCTGTACTGAATATAAAAGAATTACCATCGTTTACGCCAAACAGGTGTGACTAATATTACGACTCGTAAAAACGTTCCCCTTTGTTGCATCGAAGTTTCTAGAATCTATATCGCTTAGTGCCGGACATGTTTGCAAAGTTGAGAAAAACGTACAAACAAAGTTCTGTGTTCCTTTTAATTTGGTCCAAGATATTATAGTTGAACTTCTTCACCACTTTAAGGCTTATTTCCAGCGTCTATTATACATTTAAATCTATTGTCGCTTTTCTCATTTAAATTCGCTTTAGACTGCATAAAGATCACCGGCGAGGAACTGCGGTCTAACTTTGATTTATGGTAATACTAGCGAACCGCCCCGGCTTCGCACGGGTAAAATGTATTATATATATAAACCTTCCTCTTGATTCACTCTATCGAATAAAAAAAAACACATCAAGATCCGTTACGTAGTTTTAAAAATCTAAGCATACATAGGGACAGACAGATAGCGGAACGACTTTGTTTTGTACTATGTGGTGATATGTACGAGTATGTCATAATACGGCAGTAGTCTGAACACAGCTTAAGACTTATTGTTTCAAATTTTAAACAAACTATTTTACTGAGGTCTCATGTTGATAATTTTTTTGAATATTACGGTATTAACAAGGTTCGAACATATTTTGTTTTGGCGATTGCTGAGCTTGCTCTTGTTTAATGATTAGCAATAAACTTTCCAGAGTTCATTTTTGTGTATACGTGAATGAATGAACATTATTATAATTTACCTTTCAAGCTTTACCTATCAATAATTATTGCACCAATAACTAAATAAGAAGGTAAAAAAATATGTATTATCGATGCTGTATAAATATCTTAATCATTAGAAAGATTGTAATTATCTTAACATAAATAAAATTCAAATTTTTCTAGAAATAAAAACATTTGTTAGTTTAAAAAAACTTGTATGTTTGTTCATGTCCCAACAGCTATGTCCTAAAGCTCTTAATTTATTACTTTCTTAAAGATTAATCTTTGAACTATGCAATAAGTTAAAAATGTAAAATTTCTCTTACATCTAAACATTTTATTTATAGAGTTATAATTAATAACATAAAATTAAGTGACTTCTTCTTCAATTTGATCGATCACTTCAATTTGATACGATATAAATAGAAATATTAACACGTTTACGAGGTCTTTGACTGTTCGTAAAGTTTACAAAAGTACATTATAGTTTTTTTTTTAATTAATCAAACTGCGATCAATTTTAATGTTTTTGGCTTTATGTCCATAAGAGAAAAGCACATTTAAATGACCATGATCTTGTCTGCTGTTGATGGTAATACACATAATATAGGACTGCCCACAGATTGGTAAACTAAACAGTACTGTATCGAATGCGGAACATTAAGATAAACCTTTCGCTTAGCCGAAACCTGAATTCCATGATTTATGACAAGTCGCCGATGAGAAATCACTGCAGTCGAAATACTAGAAAGGATTTAATATGTAAATTTTCTATTGGAATTGGGTTCGTCATTAACATATAAAACTGTGCGGTTGTCGAACAAAACAGTTCCTAATCTTCTGTAATAAAAAAGCGAAAGAACATCCGCCTTTAACACTAAAACATTATATCGACTAGGTTTTTAATCTCTCACCTCAATTCTAACGTCGAACATAATGATAGTTCATCTGATCTGTGTTTTTTCGCTATCTCACTAAGAGCCGTTATAGTTCAGTGTTAGAGGGCTAGCCTTTAATTCAAACTATTCCAGCAACGTGACTTCAAATCCCAGTGCCGAATCAAAGAAATTGTTAATTGAACATTTGTGTGTTATGTGAAGTCCACCAAACCACGATAGAATCGCGTGGTGGACAACGTCCCTTATATCCTTTTGTGTTGCCGTACATTGAGCATAAATGCGAAAGTGATTTTTATCCAGTTAATTCAAATTGAATGCACCTACGCAACTTTGTTTAGAACCTGTAAAATAGATCGTGAGTCACCGCTCCGCCAACAAGCTGATTAAATCCAGCTATTGTTATAAATGCGGTTTCTTGTGCAAGTGTATGTATGTGTTGCCCCTTTATGTCGCAATTATTAATTTAATTTAAATCTGTTTTATTTCAATAAAATTAATAATTATGGTTACCTTTACTGGGTTACATTGCGTACTTTTCAACTAATAACGAATAATGACGCCTGAAATTTATAAATACTGCATGAAGTGAGTTTCAAATATGTTTAATACGTGTTATCCATCCATTTTAAGATTTCTTTTAAATTTGAATCATTATTCAAGGAAAATAAGGTGATAATAAGAAAGGGTACTTATCACCGTTTAATAACATCAATTAATGAGGTAAGGTATTCAGATGTTACGTGCTCTTTGGCCTTACAAACGAATCCAGACGGGGCCAAAGGCTAATATGGATGTTTATATACGTACTTTAACGTACCAATATTATATGGAGACCATCATTCAAATAAATAAATACCGCTGCAAAACACTAACTATAAATTTAACACCCGCGACTCTCTGACTCATCGACTCTTTAAAAATCGAAAGATTAAATAAGTATCAATCGCGTATCTCAAAGCACATATACCAGAAATAAAATAAATTTGATGCTGCTTTTATGTACCTATGAAATCTATAAAATCCCACATTAAATGTATCCCACATTATCTTGTAGTATTTATTTATTTATTTATTTAAAAACTTTATGCACAATAACGTACAATGGCGGACTTAACACCATTAGGTGTTCTCTACCAGTCAACCGATAAATAGGCAGAGAGAATAACGAGGAGAGAATGTATCTTAATAATTGACGGGTGTTTTAGTAGTCTTGAGCTTCTGGATGATTGGATAATGTTTGATGTTATTTTATACGTAGCGTCGAGTGCTAGACCATCTTACCACCTGATGCGTAAGAGTGATATAAATAGGTACTAGGCTATAGTACCCACAAATTAACAAGTAATATTTTTTTTATTTTAATCCCATTTTGTTGCTGTAATTATTTTGTAGGGTACTTGAATTATTAGAGATATTCAAAGAAAATAAAAAGAAAAACCTAATAACATTTTTATTAATTTCCTATTTTCTCAGTAATTTTATTGTTATTCATCTGTATGAATAATATAAATAATTTTAAAGAATTGATGTTTTGTATATTAAATTGGATGGATTTTTAAATTCGACTAATTATTTTTTAATACTGCAGCTATAGTAATCAAAACAATAAATTTTATCTTCATATTTGACAATAAATTTCAATGTGCGAATAAACGATTTCATCTTTACATTTGCAGCAAAAAACGAGCTTAATAAAAATAATTTTATAACGCATAATTTTTTGCCTCTTACTAATTAAATTCCATCAATCGGCGTAACAAAAGTTTTAAATATGGTTAAAATGAATTCGCTAAATATACTTTCAATGTGCCATAAAAACGTGTGACGGATTGGATTGAATACGCTTCGGTTATTCATGGTTCTTAACACAAATTAAACGATAAAGTCTCCAACTGAAATAAAAAAATGACTCAACATTGCATAAAGCCTTTAAATATTTGTGTGTTGAGTAACACAGCAAATAAAATAGAACACAATAGTAATAGTAAAACATCGATTTCGGTGACCCGGTAGGACCATGCAACAGTGTTCGCTGTTGCACGAATGGGCAGGTCCGTCCGGGTTAGTACCCGAACCTCACAGAAGACCGGCGAAAATAGAATTGCACTTCTGCGTTTCGTCTGGTGAGTGAGGTAGCCGGGGCCCACATTATAAAGAGGTGGCAACGCATCTGTTGCAGACGGCTGACGGGTGTCCATGGGCAGGCGGTTATCACTTAACATCAGGTGAACACGAGATGTTTTTCTTTTTCGTGTTTGTCCTTTCAAGTATATCTTAACAACTTTATTAAATATTAGGAGAAACGTGAAACAACTTTGATGTATATCTGTTCTGAGTATGATGTACAACGACTTGTTTCCAAGGAATCGGCTTATTCTCAAGAACTACTGGAAAATAGTCACCTTCTAGATATTCGTAATACGTGCAGCATAACATTGGAACATCTGCTGGCTTGTTTCCATCTACCTAAAAAGACGCTGACAGAAAGTCTTAAAGTAAACAGTAAATGGATAAGAATTTATTAAGCTTGTCTACGTAAGCTGTCTCTTACCATAAGTTGGAATGTTAAAAGGCACTAGCCGACAGTCGCAAAAACAAAAATGGTTGGCGATTATAGTTTAGCGGCGTATATAATCAATTGGGTCGTACTTTATAGGCAAGGCGTTCGATTTAACAAAGCGAAGGATTTTGTGAAAATAGTACTTCTACAAGACCAGTAAAGGAATACAGAAATTATTATAAAATTGACATTCCTTCGTATTAGGGCAGAAGAATGAAAGGAATACTGGATATAATCTTTAAGTTTTCTGTTAAATTTATTGATACTAATATACTTTTAAATCAAACCACCTAAGCAAAAAGCAAAATACATACTTTTTATGATGAAAAGAAAATTATATTTAAAATTAATACACAATTTCCTTACTATTCGAACTTTTACATTTTTTGTGCATTTTTGATGTGGTTCATTTTGATTATGACATAATGTAATAATATATAGTTATAACATAGGAAATATATACATAATATATAGTTATAAAGCACATATCAGTTTTTCCCAAAAGCAAATATATACCGTTGTAATAAAATATATGTATTCACGTTGCAATCTTAGTTAAGATGGCACGTCCAAACTTTAAATGACATTAAATAACTGTTCAAGATCCGAGATGAGATGATCTTACAACGTGCTTGTAGATTTACAGTTGTGTGGGAAAAGAATGGGTTTTGATTATAGCATACTAAGATGGCAATAATTGGCGCCAAAGCCATGTATTTGGTAACGGTAAAGAAAATTATAGGTTATTTTATAAACATACGTAGGCGTCGAAATTCGCATGAGATTTCTGTAAACTGGTAATAAAATGGTTTTATCATTTAACTTTATAATTAATAGCTCAATAATGATGTTGACGACCATTTGATTATCTCTTGTCGTAACATTATATACCTAAAAATTCCTAGTATTGTTTAAGTTTTCACATCAAACAAGTTGTTTATTCATACTAATATTGTAAATGCGAAAGTAACTCTGTCTGTCTGTCTCGCTTTCACTTCAAAACTACTGAACCGATTTAAATGAAATTTGGTACACAGATAGTAGAGCCTGAAAAAGGACATAGGCTATTTTCAAATTGGAAAAAAAGTGTTGTAAAGGGTTGAAAGATAATGTACGGGCGTCAACGCGAGCCGCGGGCGAAAAGCTAGTAATAATATAAACTAACATAATTTGTTTTATGCACGTCTTGCCTGTGAGCCCATAATTTTACCGAATACTATGTTAAAGATTTAACGCTAAGGTCCATATGCATTTATAATTAATAAACGAATATCAAAGATAACTTTTTATTCTTAATTATTCTTCTGTTAATGAAAAATTAGGTCCTGAAATAGAAGAACGGAATTTCAATGCCGTCCGATACATTAAGATACGATAACCTAAATAATAAGGAAATTATATTACGATAACCTATGAACTTGTCGGCCAGTTGTACTTAGTTAGAGGTTTAGTTAGTTTTATTACTGTGGTTCAAGTTCATTATCATTGAACTTACTTTGAGGTCAATGATATTTTCAATGTTGTTTTGTATTGAATTAGTCTTTCAACAGCAGTTTATTGTAAACAAAACACTAGATGTTTTTCTTATTTGTGTTTGTCCTTTCAAGTATATCTTAACAACTTATTAAATATTAAGTGCCGGTTTGAAAGAATAAATGTGAAACAACTTTTGATTTATATCTGTTCTGTTAAAAGAAGTAAGAAGTTATTTGTATACCAATATTTAGTTTTTTCTAAATACTTATGAACTCTTTACATCCATTTTCAAGACTGGTTATACAATTATAAATATTTTTAACAACTAAGAAACAATATAATAAAAAATGTTTCTTAGTCGTTAAACAGAAAAATCATCTAATATCTCCTCAAGAATAAGAAGCATTGAAAATGTGGTCAAGACTTCGGTTTTTAAATTCGAATCTCAAGTTGTCAACTACTGTTAATGTCCGGTAATTAAATTATGATTACACATTGACTATTCGATTCTTACTAATGTAGGATATAACAAAGAAGTTAACAAAGAGTCAAAAAAAGGCAATCAGTCTGAGCTATATTCCTGACGATGTTTTTCTCCACCGCTTGTCACTTGAAAATTAAACATAACAATAAACCATTTCGTGTTGTTTCCGAGATTTGAACTAAGCTCAAATATCTATATATAAAAAGGGAAATAAAAAAAATCACTCCCATGAATATGATCTTTTTTCAACAATTTTGCGAACACTGGTAAATAAATGAAATATTAGTGAGGCAGAGCTACCTCGCCTGACGACTGCTAATTTAAAATGAAAGAAGAAATACATTGAAATCAATATTTTTATCATTAAAAAACGAAAATGTTCTTACCAAGAAACGGAAACAAAATTTATATTTACCATAACTCCAGCTGCAGTGCGCGAGGACGATACTTATTAGAACTAAAACCTTCATCGTGATGCAACGAATGCGACAAGCACAGACTTTGCAAACGAAATTAAGCGCTGAACCTGTTTGCGATAACTGCTATTACTCTCGAAATCTTTTTGGAAGGATGGAGCGAACGATATGTTCCTTGGTCGGTTTGAATTAAGAACGTTTCTTCGTGGTACCTGTGTTTGCTGTAACAGTAACGGATAGACTGGTCGCTGGCGCGAATGCGAGCCTTCTTATGTTGATGTTTTGTTCTTGCACTCGATTAAATGTCCATCACGCTTATCAAATATACAATTTCTACGAGCATATGGACCTTATGCAGACGTAATAGATGCTAAGTTTAATGTCAACAATAGAATCTATCATGCGTTGAAATGCATAACACATCGTTGACACTTATAAATATGACGTCTCAATTTGACTACTTCGCTTTTTGCGGTTTGTCTATTTTTTTGTATGTATACAAAGTAATGTAAGATGTACCTTACACGGTACTTATAATGCTTTTTTCATGTAGGTACTTATAATATTAAAAACTGTGGAAGGTAAGAATTAGTAAATGTCGTAGCTTATGTAAATTATTGTAAAATTTGAATTTTTGGATATGTTTTTAAACTCCATAACTTATTCTGTGGTGTTACAACTCTATTAAAGTGGTTTGTTATGGCCTTTTCTTAATTTGGATATCATTCTTGGAACCTATTCAGTGTCGTGACATCATTGAAAAGTTTTCCTTTGTTCCGTTTTCATTAAAACAAAAACAAATACAGTACACGTGAGGAATCAAACTTCAAAATCACTTCATAATTACCTATGACACGATTATACTAGCGACAAATCCCCAATTAGTGACTGATAGTTAATTGCGTCGATTGATATAAGTTAAAGACATATTTAATTTGATTTAAATCGAATGTGACAAATAATTGTGTTGGTGATTCAGTTAATTCTATATGCAATATTAGTTTTAGACATAAAATATATGATTCTGCAGACTGGTGGTACAACTTTAAATATTTTAAGCACAACTAACTTAAAATCTGATAAAGTAACCAGGTCGTTTAAAGGATCTCTAGAATGAGAATCATTGAAAATGTGGCCAAATCGTGTTTTTAAGATTCGGTTCTAAACGCGTCAATTACTCTGACAGAAGTAAAATATCACTAACATTTTATCGATAACGGTGAAGGAATAAATGAGAGAATTTAAACGATATACATCACGGTAGGATGTTGGAGTGGCTTTATAGTGCGATGAAGATATGAAAAATAGGGCTATCGGGAAGCAAATTCACAATATTAAATAATGTTAGCCTAACGTAAACCGAACACTTGCACACCGACTTGCTTCATTGGATTTTGTAGGGTTACGGTCAGGATAGTCTTTGGACTAGTACAATATACTAGTCGTGAAATTTTAATCTGACATTAGATAAAACAATAACAAGTTTGAAGATGGTTCGTAAAGTTTCTTATAGTGTTTACCGTAACAATACATCAATCTAATGTATTCGTAAATCGCAAACTTGTCAAGCAACTTAAATTAGCGACTTTATAGGTTAGGAAAAATTGTGGTTCTTTTTAAGTGACAGAAAATTTTTAATGAAAACAAAGCGTTGTACATGACTTTGTTGAATGATTTTCTGGCAATGACCAAAAACAGTTTTCCGGATTTCCCCGGCTTCTGTCCAACGTACATGAGAATTATATATGCAAATATAACTCACGCTCACGATGTTTTAGTAAACTACATTAGTTGATAAATAGCATTCACAAGGAAAAATAACGAATTACTTGATGTCTGGTCGGTATTACGTACGTAATAAACATTTAATTAGAAATAACATTCTTTATTTTTTAAATGACATTCAAATTAAGCATGTCATAATAATTAGAAGTTGACAAAATCAGCTAAAAAGTAGGCATTTTTGACACGAAAAAACGCATTTGCCGTTGTCTCCATCAGAGAATTTCATATTTATTTGGTGTTTCGTATTTTGGTGTTATTTATTTGTTCTTCACAGTATTTTTATCGAATCATACATAACATTATGATTGTAGAAAATGTCTAAGTTTGTCTACGTATTTAAAAGGAAATAAAAATAAACATTATCTATGATCAGATCATTCGAGAACTGATAACATTAACCTTTATAAAAATACTTATTGTATATAAACTTATCTTCTCACGGGTAGGTCATGATGTTGTAGTTAGTGCAGCGTTCATGTATCACGTTTTGTTTGGTTCATCACGACACGATATCTAAATTGAGATAAATTAACAGGATGTTTTTGTGATGTTTATGAGTAATGTACTGACTAAATCAATTGCATGTGCGCATTTGTTTTTATATTTTTGCGATAAGATGTCAAACGAACAGACGAATAATCAGAGAAGTATAACAAGGTTACCTACATTTACCTGCTTACCAAACTCAAACATCTACTGTAGCCTACTGTAGACGTAATGTAAATAATTATGCTTCCTCATGACGCGGGCTATCTAATTTTCGAGACACTCATAAACGTCTGCCAATCCGCAGTGGGGTCGCGTGACTGTGCCCTATTACTAAACTGACCGCTTTTTTTCTAACTCAAAACGGGATATTGGTTTACAATGAAAATAAATATAAATTTTTAATTATCTTTATTACGAAAAGATAAAAAATTAATAGATACAAAGAAAAAAATTATCACTTCACTATTTTTATGAAAACAACATTGGTATGTTTTTAAATATATTGATATTTCTTAGCGGAAAAAATTTGTTTTAATAATGTAGGTGACGATTTTAAATAAGAATAAAATTTAGCACGTTTCTTTTACGTTGTATGTTACCTTTGTTATCAGCATTGCCCTCAGAACTGGACCTGTTCAATATCACCAGCACCACTATGGGAAACACTAAACTGTGTGACACTTTTCGCATCTGACATCCGAAGAAGTGTTAATTTGCTTAATAAATGGGTATTTTGTTTGTAGGTTGACATTAAATGAACACTTGGGTTTCGGCATAAGTATAGGAACAACAATAAAACTTCAAATTATCTACACAACTATTTAACGAACATTACACAAAAATATAAAGAAGTCAAAATAAATGCGTATGGCTAGCCTATTGAAAGAAACAAATGACAAGATTGATGAACAACTTGAAAGATAAACCTGCGGGGAATAACCGATGGCGGTTCCGCGCTGCTCATGATCCTATCTGACAAGCGTGGATTTAAAATTTCACGCGGTTTCGGAAAACGGGACAATTTGGCGTCCCAAAAATTTGTTCGGGGACACAAAGGGACAGCTGTCCGAGAAAAGAGAAAGTCCCGTTCAAAACGGGATGTATGGTCAGTTTACCTATTACCCGCTTTACACAGGAGGCTTTGGCCTAGAATTAGGAAATTTATAGGCTGTTACTTTACTTTACTTAATAAACGAGTTTTTGCTTAAGCGCCCTTAGCGCCCGACCACCTCAAGCCCGGTCGGTGATTCTATAAAGGCCTTCGAAAGGCTATCAGTGAACGAGCTAACAAAAGAAAAATTCGAGGCAGTGGCATCTCTCTGACAAGTATGCGCAGTCCTTGTTTCCAACCAACGATTTGTTGTTCACGTTATACACCTTTTATCGTAGCGAATATCATTGGCAATAATACATAAAATAAATATTTACAACTACATTGAGCCACTTCCATAGAAATAGACCTACTATAGGTTCCTACTGTTAGTGTTTACCAATATTCAACGACAATCTATGTATAAAGTATGGAATGGGTTAATGAACGTCATAACGCCTTGATAAAACAACTGTTTCTCAAAAATGAAAAACAGCGAATACTTTCAGTACGGTTCGTTATATATTAATATAATGAACCGTTTATAAAAGAAATATTAACATTCACCGTGAAAATAAGTTGCAACTGCAGAAATGAAGCATTAATTGAATGCTATTAATATTAAACAGGCGTTGTGTAAAGCTTGAACATTTTTTTCATCTGAAGATTTATAGTGCTATTAAGCAATATTTGCTGAAGTTTTAAGTTTTTTTTTTAACTTCCATAGAGTGAAAAATCTACCGTGTCACTAGGTACAGTTAAGAATTTGCTTTTAAGTAAGGTAAGTATCACGACTTAAAATTACTTTTTTTTTTAAATAATAAGAGATGAAACCTTTATGTAATTATTTACATCCAATGTCCCGAATATCTATAAGAAAAATAAGACCACATATGGTTTGCCGAATTATTTAATTAAACATAAAACTTACAATGAAATCACAGCTAATACAACGTTATAAATATAAGTACATCTTAAAACTATAAATTAATTACAAAATGTTTCTATGATTCAATAATTTTGAAGGAAAGTAAAAAAAAATTATTGGGATAAACATAACACATTCTCTAACTGTATTAAGAGTTGTACTTTTTTCCTTTAATTACTAATGTTAGGCCATAACGAGTACGGCGGGTTATAATTAAATCGTCGAGTGATCGGAATTGTATTCCTTACATTCCTGTTTGGAGGTTTTGGTTAGGTTTAAAAAAGAAACGAGAGACAAACAAGCTTTAAACTATTCCGGTATTACGGCAATTCGTATTCTTCTACCTGGCCATCTTTGTTGATGACCTTGCGACCTCCGCTACTTTCGCTCTTCTGTCCGTTGATGTTCGAAGAGGAATGGAACCTATATTCGCCCTCGCCGTAAACGTGAGAGTCCGGCCCTTGTGGTCGCAAACTTTTTATGTTCTGTAAACATGAGAAATTACGCTTGAACACACGAGAATTTCGAGGGCTGTGGCGAGTTCGTGGGTGTTGCATAAAAACTTTTGCCGCTGAAATAGAAAAGTGATTAATACGCCGATGTTGATGATACGTGGAGTTAAATGCAAAATAATAGAGTAATTTATACAGTTTTCTGTAAATGGTAACTTGAGGTCCAGTTTTTTTTTATATGGAGATGCCAAACTAATGTAAGGATTCGACTAATTGGGTGTGATTATCGCTGTCGTTTGATAACCGAAACGCCATAAGCATGGGAAGAACGCAAAATTATATTTTATTTATTCATTATATAAATACACTAGCGGACCGGGCAGACATTGTCCGGTACAAACGACTTAAATCCGATAACTTAAAAACAAACGTGAATCTAAAATCATTCTCGAATCGACCTGTAGACACAAAAAAAAATTCATTAAAATCGTTCCAGCCGTACAGAAGAATTATATATATTATTATGTTACCGGCCAAACCCGATTTCAGAACATGCTAGTTTTGCCTAAGCTAAACTAGTTCTTCCTATATGAGTTAATAGTAACTAGTTTAGCCTAGGCAAAACTAGTTGATCCTGATATAAATAGCCTAGTCTAAACAGTTTAAGCAAAGAAAGTAATTGAGCAAACATGTCATGTACAACATGCGGGAGTTTGTCCTGAAATCGGGTTTGGCCGGTAACATGTATAAAGAGAAGCACTCTTGCTTCACGCCTACTTTCTGTGAGACCGTTGTACTGCGAAATTGATGGTGATCTACTCCTGCATAGCAGGGCCGCAGCGTTACACTAACCATATGATTTTTTAAAGATTGCAAGCGAGCAGGTCGCTTAACTGATGTTAAGTGACTACCACTGCCCATTGACGTCTACAATAAAATAGGTTGCAGTTGACTTGAAGTAAAGAAAAAGTGCACCCCTGTCACCTCACTGGCCAGACGATACGAGATAGTTTAAAACTTCTATTCACGCCGATCTTCTGTGAGGCCGTGATACTTTCCCGGACGAGCCTGCCTATTTGTTCAACAGCAGGAGATGCAGCGTGATCTTAACATTTAGTGCTAGGGCCACGCAGTAATTTTTTTTATGTAAGAAGGTGGCAAGCGAGCTGGCGGTTCACCTGATGTTAAGTAATAACCACCGTCCACGGAGACTTACAAAACCCGTAGGCTTGCAGGTGCGTTGCCACCTTTAAAAAAAGTGGGCCCCGGCTACCTCACTCACCAGACGAAACGCAGAAGTATCACACTTCCACTTCACGCCGTGGTACTTACCCGGACGGACCTGTCCATTCTACCACAGTGAAAGCAGTATTTTTTATTAACCGTAATGGGCCGATTTTAATGAAATTTTCTGTTCGTCTTCAGGTCGATTAACAAACGTTCTGACAAAGCTAATAAGAATTACGGGAGCGATTCTTCTTTCTTTAATAGAAGCAACATATGTGTCATAATAGTTGCTCCTTGCACCAAAGTGCAAAAATTAATACATGAATATACTAAGGATATTGATTATTCATCAATCGCTTCCTTGATAAGTGGTCGAGAGCATAAATGTATAGTTTGATTGTCAGTTAAGTATGTATTTATACGATATATAAGGCAACATTTTATAAGGATAACATTTTTCATTATGAACTGTTTCTACAACTGCTCGTATTAATATTATCATCACATACCACATGACCAGTGCGTATTTATAGTCATATATTGATTATGTTAACTTAGCCCGACCATAAATAATTCCGAGCTGACTTTGTAACTAACACCAATGTTATTCAACTAGAGATAATGTTTAAAAAAAAACATATGTTGTAATTTAATTCTATGAAAGAATATTTAAACAATTATTTTCTTCTTATGTTATCTCAATCTCATGAATTCTGAATACAATCTGAAATGTTTTCATCGTAAATTAGGTCATTTTGTTATATCTGACTTTTAATTCAAAATACATCGGCGACAGTGAAATTGTTAATTTTAATTGCTGACTTATATATGTGCTTAACGGTGAAGGATGGCATCGTGAGAAAGGCTGCATATTATCGAAATAGTTACTAAACAAAATATTTCGAATATATGTGAAGCCAACCAATTCATATGCGTTCGCTTGGTGGATTGTGCATACGCGCTACCTCTATATAGAGGAGGCCTTTCCCAATAATAAAATAACGGACTAAATATGTCCCAATTAGGCCGTTACTTTATTTAACTATGTTATTTAAAGTAATGGCAATAATTTGATTCGCATCTCATCGTCAAATACAAATAACTTCTAATGTATTCTCTGTACAAATAAAATTCACAAAACATACATACATACGTCTTACGTTTTCAATCCTATTGCAGAGTTATAATCGGAATCTCCAAAACGGCTCTAGCGATTTTCATGAAATATAGTATGTGCGTAGATTCGTGGGCGAAAAATCGATCTAGCTAGGTTTCATTTTTAGAAAATGTCGGTTTATCCTAGTTTTCAGGGAATAACATGGTATCCATACATAACGCGTGGCATTCTTTCCGCAAGTAATATTAATGTAGTGCCGTAAATGAGCAATAGAACCAGGAAAATAAGAGCAATAACGTAAGCAATAACAGAAGTAGAGATTCTATTATTGATAAAGTATTAATTAATTATTGGCGTAACTCGCAATTGCAGGTTATCATATACACGTGCCGATACACATATACAAATTGTCAATCTACATTTAGTTTTATTATCTTCAACTATATGGATTTTAATTAATTCAAAAGTAAATTAACCCTAATTTCTTTTTGTAATTTATATAATTTTTTATATAAATAATTCTTATGTACGTGTGTATCATTGAACTCCTCCGAAACGGCTGGACCGATTTTAATGAAATTTTCTGTTCGTCTTCAGGTCGATTCGAGAATGGTTTAGATTTAGAATTCGTTTTTTTGTTTTTTTTTATTTATAAGTTGTTGTCGGATTTAGTCGCGTGTAAAGTACAACGTTTGTTGGGTCCGCTGGTGAAATAATAAATAAAATAATATAATTTTGGTAAAATCGATCATCATCATCATTTCAGCCTGTTTGAGTCCACTGCGAAACACCTCCCCTGCTATGTAGGTGCTATGGTGGATGTTGCTATGGTTGCAGGTGCTATGGTTGCAGGTATGGGTTACAGGTAGCGCATCCATAGCCTTCCCGCACATTTGCACAGGGCGTCACACCACTCTAGTGGGTGTTCGTGTTACACTGCGATCATAAGAACGATCATTCATTTGCCTTTTACTGACTTCCCCCGTCTGATTATCCCCCAGGGAGGGAACCCTGAAATGTGCGGCCGACAATGCCTAGCGGTAAAGCCAAACACTTGGCCTTTCTCAGGAAACTAAAATTAGTTTGAGGGAACACCACAAAAGCCTTCCTAATTTTAAAATTTCAAAGGACCGAGGTTGAAACTCAGCCGGCACATTTGTCACATGCTAGTCCGTTGAGGCCATATTTGATTGCGTTAAAACCACAAGAACGACAAAATTGTAAAGATATTTTAAAATTGTAACGTAGTTTTAGAATCACGAGTTTAAAGAGTAATCATGAGTAAGCAACAAACTACGATAATCCACACTTGATTTTCCTATCTTACGGTACAAAAGTAACGTATAATTTAAAAAATAACGTTAACTTCCATATTAAGTTAGTTCGTTTTTATATCAATACCTACAGATTTCCACGTTTCTTGTAATAATTACAAGAAAAACTAGACACGATGCTAACATTAACCTATACTTTTTTTGACATTTTCAAACAAATAACACATGCGACGACGGTTCCTACATATTACTATTTGAAGTGAGACCCAATTATGGGTTATATTTATTGCAAAAGGATATTTATACATAGGATGTTTTTTTTTAACAAAAAAAAAGGAAACAAAAGCTGTCCCATAGGGGGAGCGTAACTTTAACGTATCGGTCACGTACTCGTATGCTCTGTTATAAGCATACAATAATTTCAAAGAATGACACGAACCATGAATGGGCTACATTTTTATCAGGTTAGTTAAATATTCTTCACAAAAAATATCAACGTAAAAAGATCCTATAATATTTTTTAGGTTTTGTAGAGAGAACAAACAAATAATATTTCTTTGGGTCAGCGATTATATCGTACTCGCCAAACTCATCGCAAGAACAAACTAACAAACATTCATTTCTATTTTTAGGGAAGACGAGGGCAATAATAAGAAGATTAGCTTACCTCAAAATTCGGTTCAAAGTTAAATCCTTGGCTAATCCTGAAAAAATACATTGCATCGTTAGGTTCGTTTTACATATTAAGACATAACGCATCACTCTATATGAATAGATATTACATAAAAGTAAAAAAACTAAAGGGCTATAAATGTCCCACCGCTGGACAAAGGTCTCCTTTATTAAGAGGGTATCAGGGCGTAGTCCACCACCCATTGCTGATTGGCGGACTTTACATATTTCTAAAACATTTTTTTTATTATTATTTCGAAAATATACAGGTTTCCTCACGATGTTTTCCTTCACCGCCTTCAGCACTTAAAATTAACAATTTAATTGGTGCTGGCAAAAGGGATCGAACTGAGATTGCTCGAGTAAATGTAATTAAAGGCGAGCGCCGACACTAAGCTATCAGGCTGTGATAGCTTAGTGTCGGCGCTCATACTCTATATACGCTCATACGCTCATACTCTATTACATACTTTACTATAATTTGTTTGTTTATTTACGAGTGTGTTGTACGTTGTGCTCGGATCTGTGTACTTTGGAACACAAAATCTGATTTGCTACGAGAAACAATTAAACTAAAACTCATTTTAATTTAAATTGTTTACAGTGCTAATCTTTGCACTTAAGAATGAACATTAAAATATGTAGAAAAAGTACGAAAAGACTGTCGCCGCTGTGGGAATCGAACCCACGTTTTCGGCATTCGCGGCCTGACGGTTTAACCACTAAGCTAAACGGCTGATAGCCACACCGACGAAAATCTTAACGTCTTTTATCTACATTGTTTTTTAGTATACGGGAGCTATCTCAGGACTCCCACGATGAAATGTGCAAATATTCTTTAAATCGTTGGTTTATACACCAAAGCAAGTAATAAATAATTGTAATACAAATACATCTATATTCTTTCAAAAGCAAGCATTTGTATAATTTTAATAAAACACTTTAAAATAATAGTTTTATAAAACGGGCGGTAATAGGTGCGGATTTTAAAGGGTCGTGATTAGGTGCGTTTACCTTAGATAAAGTCAGTTTTATGTGAGAAATCGCATTTTTTGTAGATCTAACTGGAAGATAACATACTGCAAATTCTAAATTTATCACTTAACATCATGTGAACAGCCAGCTGGCTAACCTCACATAAAAAAGCGGCGACGATCCTTATCGTCTCTTCAAAAATAAATATTTAGTCTTTGAGAGAGAGAGAAAGATTCCCTTTTTGGTGAAAGAACCCTTTAAGGGTTAATCTTTCTCTAAATTTTGCATTGGTTATAATTTTTAAGCCCGCGTTCCAGTCCAGGGCGTTTCTCAACGCTTGTGGAATCTAGCTGTTCCACGAGCGCTGCCTTCATCAGCTACCATCAGCTACCTAAAGAATGTTTTAATCTCCTCCTTTCATGAGAAAACGTAACTCATGGGAAGGTGGTTCGCTTGTTGTATAAATACAGTCACCCACAGATGTCTATAAAACACATTGGTTGCATTTACGTCGGCAACATTGTGAAGAGCGGGATAAAGGCTCAGTCAAAGTCATATTAACTTACTTCTTCACGTCCCAGAAGATCTATCCTATATCTATAGCTCCCCTGACGAGCGCACCATTTCATAGCTTAGTAATCCCAACGCACAATACGAACGGTGTACTAATTAAAAAACTTAGTTTCCGTAAAGAACATTTGTGTATTATCAAAGTGCAACCCAACAGGTTGTTCAATTACAGCGTTATAAACTGTGCGATAAAGATAATTAGATACGGAGAGTTTTATTTCTTTTCTTGAACACTTCTCGAACATTCAGCCAATTTTGTCAAAATAATCTGATATATATGAAGAATTGCAACAGTATGTTTTTACTATATGTTTTTAAACAATTAATGTTAATAAATAAGTATTTAAAACGTTAAAAATTTAATTCAGACCTATGGTTTTTTATCGTTTTTCAATAATTTTAGATAATATCAACATCCTAAATAATAAGCCCGTTGAATTTCTTCTCAGTGTAAAAAATAAAGCTATGCATGATGCACAATGACCAACAATGTCGATTTAAAAATTTATGTATCACCAACTTTATTATTTACAAAAGAAAAGTAGAGTAACAGCCTGCAAATGTCCCACTGCCGGCACCGGGGATCGAACTCAGGTTGCTCGAGTATATGGAATTTAAAGCGAGCGCCCGGACGATGAGCTATCACGGTTTAATTAGTTAGTTAAAATTTCGTCTCTATCAAAGTAATAAAAAATGCATAATGGATGCTGTGCGAATCAATGCAAATCTATGAGGTTCTTCATTGATTTTTTTTTTGCAAAAGATGGCTAGGGGCTTGGCGGTTCGCCTGATGTTAAGTAATAACCGCCGCCCATGGATATTTTGAATTTGGATTTGACTCGAATGACGAAACGCAGAAGTATAACACTCCACTTCAGTCCGGTCTTCTGTGAGGTTGTGGTACTTACGAGGACGGACCTGACCATTCGTGCAACAGCCGGTTCGTGGCCGTACCAAAATTCCTATATCTAAGCAGTTTTGAATTACAATACACTATTAATTCTGATGACATACATAAATATAGACTCACAATCTTTGAAATAAGTCCCAATCTCCATTGGCAGCTGCAGCAGCAATATCATTTGGTTCAATCGGTGCTCCTGAAAATTGACGAACTTTCCCATAACTTTAAAAGTACCAAAACTGTATATAAATGTGGAGTAAAAGTGTGTTTGTCGTTACACAGTTTAAAAAAAGAAGAATGAGTCGTACTATATCTAGAAATATAATTTATAATCCGAGTTGACTGCAAAGGAATGCAAAATTACATTCTACATAAAATGCCATAGTGAATAAATAAATATAAAAATGTTGTTACCGAATCACGTTCATACGCATAGATGCTATAATTATATCAAAATTGCATATAACTACGTGTCGTGTATGACATATTCCAGGGCGAAAACGATTCACAATGTCGTATTAATAAGTATGTATAACTATAAATACATATATCATATACAAAATCTAAAACTTTCACGGACGATACACTACTAGGAAAATGATATTCAAATCATGAATGATCTCCAATGGGATAACGTAGAAACCAGATCTATTATTTATGGTACTATCTGTAATAGGTTGTAAATTCGTCTAACTCAGATCGAAGAGAACACCACGAGCCTTCAAACTTGTTATCGAATTTATTTTACGCTAAAATATCGAACGTTAAATTAAACAAATATTGGTATGCTAACAAGTTCCGCTAATAACTTGATGCGTATTACGAACATCATAGTTAAAAATATAAATCTAGGCAGCACGATATGTGCAGATAGGCATGGTGCAATAAATCATTGTAAAAAAAAAGAATTTTGAAATTAAATCAAAGGTCGTTCGCCGGTCGGCCGTGATATTTGGCAGACTGTTTAAATTCACGCATTGTTTTCATAAATATTCAATAATTTGCAGACACTAAAATGTTTTTATTTTATTTAACATTTTTATATCTAGACAAGTGTTTAAAAATAAGAAAAGAAATAATTAAAATTTGAATTTAAATTTTATACAAACAGGAGGTGAAAACTACAAATGAAACTTAAAATATTATCTAGATTTATTTCGTTAATTATAGTACATATGTATTAGTAACAGCTACATGCTAAATTAATGATTGAACTTTATAATTTTATAATTCATATCATTAGTATATTTATAGATAGCTGGACTTTTTCTATGTTGCTTCTTATTTTAACAGTATATTATTGTTAAAAAAAATAAACATCTCTATCTACCCCTTCAAATCAAAATCCTAACTAACTTTGATAAATATGTCATTCCTTAAATTTTTTTTATAATTTTGAATAAAACGTTATTCCATTCTATCTTTTTCCTCATTATTACAGTAACAGGTTTTTGTTTAGTGATGTCTGACATCACTAAGTCAATTTGCGACTTTGTTTTCGTATTTTTAAAGAATTAACCCATAGTGACGTTCTTAGTTTCTACGATAATATATATATAGCTATTTTGTTACAGTTGTTTTATTCGATTAATTTCTACCTGCGGTAGAAATTTTATCGAATTTGTGTATAAGAGCTATTTGAGTATATTATTATAATAAAATACTTTTATTGAAAATACAGCGTTGATAAGAATGTTGTTAGTTGGGAGGATAATAATTCAGCCGGATACAACAACGTCATCACGAGGATCTTTTATTTTCAATTTGTTGATTTTTGACGCAATAAAGATAATATAGATTTTAATATTATACTCCGAATCGTCTCAAAGTTCTATATTGATCTTTATCTACACAAGCAATCGTTAAGGATATATCACCATTACCAGTTTTACGTTTAAATTATATTAGATCAAAAAAGCTGAATTATCATGGACTGATTTTCCTATTGAGGGGAGAGTTCTCGTTTGAGAATACAAACAAATTTTCTATTTATGATTCAATGCCTGGGAAATCTATCAATGGAGTAAGGGCAGACTATATGCGTAGGCTACGATGCTCGTTGACATTTCAACATGATAAGATAGATCTATATTCTATTTATAGCGAAAGAGCAGCAGAATTGTGAACTAGGTATTCCATTTTATATCAGCTCTTTATGATTGTGGGTATTAAAAGTCTCTATATTTGATTTCAGACATTACTGGATAGAATTTTTATATATTTTTTCGTTATTCTTTATTTACTTGTTTAATTCATTACAAAGTTTAATACCTTTTACCTATGTTAAAAGGTATTAAATGTAATTGTGAATATGAGTTTTCATCGTATGTACTTTTCCAATGCATACTATATCGGAATTTTCTTAATTTCCTGAAATACTTTTTTATTCAAAAAATTAAAGCAATAATAATAAAAGAAATTGGAATTATACGATATTGATGATTAAAAACAAAGACTGTCATACTCGATATGTACATATCAAATATATGAAAACTAATTTTACAATTATTCTGAAAAATAAAAATTAAATATAAATTGCTAATTCATTATCAGTGTTACTTACCCTGGGTTGCAATAAAAAGCAATCCAATTACCATTAACACACAGCTGGGTTTCAACATTTTTAGTATCAGATAATTAAATGAAAATTAAAAACTGTTTTAATCGCAGGGAAACGAATGCGTGACGTTCGGTGCGAGTTTTCGCGCTATTATGTTATGGTGGCAGCGCTTCCACAGCTTATATCACGAGCGAATACGGCGCCATTACATGGGTTATTCTAAAATACCAGTAACTTGTGTATTATATAAATATCTGTATAGATTTTTCAATGTAATATTGGCGTTATATTTTTATGCTGTAAATAATAATTTAATACAAATGATGTCCGACTTTCTATATGAAATGTTTTTTTTACCAATTGGGTATACCTACTTAGAAGCGTTATACAGTATTATATTATTGCCAAAATAGCAGTTAAACATCAGATCATTCCATGAAATCATATGGTAAGCAAAATTACTTCTAAGTAATGGCTTTTGATATTTGAAATGGGGTTTTATAACGATAACAAATTATTTTTCATAGCTTTAAGTGCAGAGCCTAGCATTAAATTTAAAATTAAATTTCAATAGCAATGGTGACATCGCTAATTTTCATATAGTCATTGTAAAAATGTTATTTGGGTCTGTGTGCTTGCCGTAAAGGATGTACATTAGATAACGCCAAGCGTTGCTAAAATGCAATAAAAATAAAATAGATAAGACGTCGGGATTTGCGCGCGATGAGGATGTAGACCTCGTAGCTTAGTGGCAAGTGCGTCTGGAAGCGTAATCCAAAGACACAGGTTCGTATCCTGGCAGTGGCAAATTGCATATGGGTCAGAACATAAAAAAATACTAAATATTTACGGGATAATTAATATCTGAATTACCACCATATTGGTTTGTTATTATATAGTTGGAAATGAATATAATCTTCATGTTTGTCGATGATACAAAAGAATATTTTGTGAGAGAATTAAGAATAGACTTATATGAGCTTACATGTTTAATCTTTGTGTTCAAAATGTGACAGGTTATGGACACGCAAAATGTGTGAGAGTGATACTCATCAGTGTCAAAAACGGACATTTATGGATGTTCGTTACCCTTGGCATTGGATTGGTGACTTTCAACAGCAATTCATCGCCTCAATCAAGTTCTACTTTAGCAATATTCAAATATCAAATATTGTACCTGATAGTGGAATACTACCATTAATTTGCAAATGATTTACATTTGTGTGGATAATGCTGCCGTGTCGGGTTTTTACATTTCAATATGCTGCGGTACTCTCAGTCACGGAGAATGATCAGCCTGTGCATAAGTAAGCCAGTTCAGTAAGAAGTTGCACGGCTTAACAAAAGGGAAGTGAAGTAAAAAAAAAGTAACGTAACAGCCGGGCAAAAGCCTTCTCAGGCATAGTCCACCACGCGACCTCACTGCGGGTTGGAAACTTCACATATCTTTGAATGTTTATGTCATTACTAGCTGCTGCCCGCGACTACGTCTGCGTAGAATAGGCTGAAGGCGTAACATTTAGACAGAGACAGATATAAATATGTGTTATTCTAATGTATAAGCTATGTTATTGTCGTTTCGTTAAACCATAAACCATACAACTTTCGCTTTTATAATATTAGTAAGGATTTCGAATAAAGAAGAAAATATTCAGGTTTTCTCACAATGTTTTCCTTCACCGCTGAGCATGTGATTAGTCAGGACTTAAAATTAACAATTTCATTGATGCCGTTACCGAGATTTTGACTCAGATCTGTAATATCGCACTTTTAGTAATGAAGAAAAAAAATATATATAATTTTGTGTTCTCTTGAAATGGATGAGGTAATAATATCACACTTTGGTTAAGCAATTTTCTTTATCACCGAAAAATTGAGCCCAGGAGAATGCAATTACAATCTTAGGTTGATGGTTCGGACGTAAATAGGAGGACCGATGACTTTACTATTTTTCATCACTTGCAAGTCATCGTCACATTTTTGTGTCAAGTTTACGATTTAGTAACCGTGCCTTAGTACCCCACGGCGTTCCTCTATAATTCATGTTTGATTCATATTTGATGAAATTGTAGATTTATGTGCCTTCAACATAATAAATAGTATATCCATCAGCGGCTTCCTGTAATTAACATTAAAATACTGTTGGAACTCAACAAAGCAGAGTTGTCACGTCGTACATACATAACTAGTTAACAATATTGTCGGGAAAGCTGAATAGTGTAATTGTACTCGAGTCGTTATAATTCAAATATTAATTAGATTGCAGGAAAATTACGTAATAGTACGTTAGTCCTCACATGATGAAACAGATGGTGTAAATAAATCCTATAACTTATCATCACTACATTGTTTAAAACAAAGTCGTCCCGCTGTTGTCTGTTCCTATGTATGCTTAGATGTTTAAAATTACGCAACGGATATTAAGGCGGTTTTTTTTTCTAGATAGAGTGATTCAAGAAGAAGGTTTATATGTATAATACATTGCACCCGCGCGAATCCGGGGCGGGTCGCTCGTAAGATAATAAGAGACGACGAAACTAAAATGATCACTGGTCCTGTTTTGTATGTAATCCAAAATAATTTATTTTTTATTTTAAATGAATAGTACTTGGACAAGCGAACCATCTGATAAATTAATGGGGACCCCCAGTGATATGAACATTGTACCATAAACTTTTCACGCGGGCTGCCTGCCACGGGTAGTGTTGTCACTCCACACCTCATTTACCGGACGAAACGCAAAAGTATACATTTTCGCAGTATGTAAGCTGCTTTACACCACCACCACCACCTTTAAAAATAATAATTATAACTAAAAAGACGACAGTGTATATTTTGATATTTTCTGAGAGTTTACGGCATAAACAATACATAATATAATCAAAAGCAATTGATCGTGATATATCTTGAACTTTATTTATAACAGTACAGTAACAGTTATAACTAATGACATATAACAATTGTTAATGGGATAGGACACGAGTGGGTAGGATCCTCTGGGGAAGTATCATGGCCTAACACAACAGAGGAATGAAGTTGAAAAATTCAAGTTTTTGTTACGTTTCGTTTCAGTTCGTTGTATGTATCGTTGAGACATAAATTATAGTTAACATTCGCTTCATTTATTCATTTTTGAAAAATTTCGCTTGAAATGAGCTAGCTCGAATGACCTAGGGAAATCGTAACGATGGGTTTACTCTCATAAAATTCTTATAAAGATAAGGCATTTACTACATTTGGTAGTCAAAGGAAACGGCTTATCAAAAGGAATAAATTATTTCGAAGCCATATGATTTGCCAATTTGCAGTGAAAGCCTGTGGCGAACTATTCTGTTAGCTCGAACTTGATCTTGTTTTTTAGCACTTTTTAACCTCCCTCCTCCTTGGTGATATTTGATGAGGTTTAAGACTAACCCCCCTCCCCCCACCCAAAATCATGTGTATTTTTAGTACCTACAAAGAATCCTAAAATTTTTAGAATATTATATTTAAATACAGGTATAAAGTATAATATAATTTTATTCTGAAATTAAGGACCATTACAAAAATGTAACGGCGAGTCAAGGTCACACTACACGCCGCTTTTTGGTTTAGAACTCACGAGTTTGATGAAAAAATAAATACACGAGATATCTTACTACACCCCCCCCCCCCCCCCCCCCTTGTGATAATCCGTGATTTTTGCCAAACCCCCTCCCCCCTTTGGGGACTCACGTGACAATGAACGACCCCAAAGCAAAAAGGCAAGCAGTGTATTTGTGTAAAATGTACGTGGCGTCCTGGATCATCCTGATCATTTCAGGCTTTCAAGTCTAGTGCTGTAATAACCCTCCTAAAAAGGCTTATATTACTATAACAGAAACTTCAGACAGAAAATTCAGGCTCCTAAGGTGAAGTATCACGGCCTCACAAAAACAGGCGTGAAATGAAAGTATTATACTTTTGTGTTTCATCTTGTGAGTGAGGTAGCCGGTTTCACTTTTTAAAAAATATATATTGAATCCCCTTTTGACCCCTTTATAACCACATTTCAGTCAGAGTAAGAAAATTATGATATTGCTAAAATAATCTATCAGATCATAAATAAATTTTTAAATCCTATTGAGTATTACGATTTTAAATTTAACGACGAGTTTACTCTCATAAAATTCTTATAAAGATAAGCCATTTACTACATTTGGTAGTTAATTTGGAAATTATTATATAGAATCTATAATTTTTTACAATACTTACTGTTTTTAACTAAATCTAAGGATGAAAAGGCGTTAATAGTGCTTAATTTAGGATGCTCAAGTCAATAACAACCTAAGTTTCAAAAGACAAAAGCAGCTAAAATTTCAAGGACTTAAGATATAAAAGAGTAGGTAGGTACTGAAATGACACAATTGATTAAAATAATTGCAAACTATTAACACAAGGAAGTTCCTTTGACGTTATGCAAATTTAAGCAAATGCCTACCACTTTAAATAAAATACATGGCGTTTCAGACCCATTCGGGCTAAACATGGAGTGGAGCTTGAGAGTTAATTTTTTTGACGTTGGTACCTAAATAAAATCCCTTTAGGAATTTGTGTTTGTTTGTTATCGTCGATAGGGAATTAAAGTGCGATTACAATTCCTTCTATTCTTCATAATGATATATTATCACTTTCACCAGTCGTTAGTTATTTTTCTACTGCTCCTCATCATGAAAAATAAAGTGCGTGGAGAATTTCATGAGGAGCTTTTCATGACATTCTCGAAACGATCGGCTAGGCAAGGAGAGAAACAGATAATTATTTTAACAATTTGTCAATAGATGGCACTTTCATACAATATTTGTAAGACATTTTGTAATGAGAGTTTGTTTAAAAATTGACAAGTAGAATAAAACTGATGCAACTATTGGCAAGATAACCTTTAATTCGATGAAGAATCAAAACAATACAAAGAAAAATAATATATGGAAATAATCAAAGCACCGTTTGAAATTGTTTCTTTAAAAGAAGGAAAGATGATGCACTAGAACAACCAAATGAAATACTAGATGTTGTGTCTGGCTGGTTTGCTACCAATAACTTACTTTTGAGCTCCAATTAAACAAAATGTATTACATTTACTCTTTCAAAGTTGTGTCACCAATAAGGAATCTCTATTGATGAGAAAATCCTACCCCTTTAGGATTCAACAGCATTTCTTGGAATAAGCGTCGACTCCAAGTTGCAATCGAGATTTCATGTAGATAAGTTAGCTAAGAAATTGAGCGCTGTCGTCTTTGCTATACGCAAAATCAGGCAGCTAACTAACGAGGAAACAGCTAAATTAGTTTATTATACTTATTTTCACAGCATAATGTCCTATGGTGTCTTACTTTGAGGTTCCGCATCCGGTTTAGGCACAATATTTGTATTACAAAAGCAGGCTATACGGGCTGTCTATGGCTTGGGTCCACGTGAGTCACTACGGCATATATTTAAGCAAATAAACGTTTTAACGCCCCCGTCGCTTTACATACTTGAGAACATCATGTATGTACGTAATAATATCCACCTATTTACGAAAAAACAATCCACATCGCGTCGGGGCCGTGGTGACACTGAGAAAGTACCGAGGTTTAGATTGGCTAAAACCAAAAAGTCGTTTCTTGGTAGATGCATCAACTTTTATAATAAAATAACAAAAAGAACAAGACCGCAGAGTTTCTTGCCGGTTCTTCTCTGTGCAGGTCTAGTTTGGTGAACCGGTGGTAGATTTTTGTTTACGTTCAATAAGAGCTTAAGTTAAGCCTATATTGAATAAATATACTTTGACTTTGACTTTAAAACAAGCAACATTCAATTTTAACCATAGTTGGGTGGCATAATTGGGTGTGATAAATTTATTTTTTTACTTATTCTATTTATTATTTATGAAATAAAAACGATCATGCCGCAATTTTTTCAAATTCTGGCAGTGTAATATTTATATCTTTACTGCTGCCGCTACCTAGTACAATTTTCTTTTATAATTATGTCTCGAAAATGCCGAAATTTTTCCCCCTTATTTACACAACTTTAACGCCTGTATGAAAACGTATTGCAATCGGTTCAAATACGGAGTAAAAACCTCAGCGCCTCTTTACTGTAATTAAGAAATACTATAGATTATATTCACTTTTAAATGAAGTAAGAACTTCACGGAAAAAGATATGTAAGCTTCAATAACTTGCCGTGTTAGCTCAGTGAGCTCGCTTTTAATTTAATCTCGAGCAACTTGAGTTCATATCCCGGTGCCGCCATCAATGAATTTGCTAATTTCAATTTTAAGTGCTGACTTATCTCGTGCTCAGCGGTGAAGGAAAACAGAGAAAACCGGCATATCTTCGTAATAATAACATAAAAAAATATTTCGAAGATGTATGTAGTCTGTCAATCAGCAGTGGGGTCGCTTGGTGGACTATGCCCTCTGAACAGAGGAGGAATTCGCTCAGCAATGGGACATGTTATATAGATTTTTGCTGTTTTTGTACTTGATGATGTTGTATTGGTTTCAGTGACTGAGTGTTTACACATAATTTATATGTAGGTACACCCCTATACATCATCATTCCCACGACGGAGTTTATTGGGAAAAGCGCCGCCGTGTAATCTCTACGACGCCATTCACCGCAATTCACCGGAGCGCTTGCCTCGGATGACACTGCGTTTCCAACATCGAACGGGTGTAGAATCAGGTTTTAGTTAGATATAGTAATTTTATATTGTAATTCCTTTATAAATAAAGTATTGAAGTAATTTTGGTTTTTTTTGGGCCCTTTTACAAAATTCATAAAAAAACGGTAATCCAGCCCAAAGTCACACATGTAAATTAAGTTGTTTGTTTTTTTTTGAAAACATATGACGACTGATTGTCTCGTTGTCAAACACACTAGTATAAGAGAGAGTGCTTATTCACTCTTGTCTTACCGAATCAAAAATAACGTTCGACTCTTAATATGTTCTCCATTTTACATTCATTATTTTTTTAAGGTCAAAAGTGAAGAAAAGACCTTACGTGCTGCCCCACAAATTTTGAGGAAAACAATGTTTAATCTGTTCTACATGATTTATTTGATTTTATAGTTACATTATTATGATCGACTAAAAATGAATAAAAAAACTAAGACAACAAAAATGAAAAGACAAAATTAAATAATTGATTAAAACAAATTAAAATGGGTTTCGCCTAAACTACAATACGTGAAAACATTGATTTTTAATAAAATTAAAAATAGAAAATTAACATTAGAAAATGAAGTTAGAATATATATACTCTTGATACTGTACCACTGTTACAGTGAAGGTACAAATGAGGAAATATTAAACACTGTCACTGTTTTCCAACGCAACCGTCTGTTCGTCTACTTGGCCGTTATTGTTGACAATTATGTTGGTGGCACCCGCGTATTTCTTTTTTCCGTTAACGTTGGACGACACGCTGTAGGATGAGGAGGAACTGCCGATGAACGATCCACCCTTACCGGACTTGATGTTCTTCAGATCAATGTAGGAAAGCCTTGGCTGCAATAAAAACCCTGCTTTATTTCAACTCCTATATTATATTATATTATTAAAATACTTTCACGTCATAACTGCTCTTGATTTTTTATAGTCAAGAAGTTAGTAATACCAAAAACAATTATGTCTTGCTATGGTTAACGGTAACGATTATTTTTATGGAATATAATATATTTTCAAAATACTTTTAGAATTATACTTTATCAAAAAATAGAAGATTAAGGATTTAGTTATGAGCGAATTATAGTTAACAAATTATGCTTAATTAAATTCTACTACTATCACTAGTATATAATATATAGTAACCTTTATTGGCGAAAAAAATAACGGCAGTGGCTGTATCACAGGTATCTGAAAAATACATTTTTTTGAATAAAAAGTTGTCCGGTGTAGGAATCGAGCCCAAGATCCCCGACGCCGAAGCCAATGGTTTGGCAACTGCGCCACGGAGTCATCAGAAAGAAAATGGGAATATACAATCTAACATAAACTTAGTAGTACCTTATAAGAGGGCAAATGATCAAATTTTACATACCTAGTCATCCTTTAAAAATACAAAGATAATAGTTATTGTTGTAAGTGTACAATATATATAAATCCAGACAAAACAAATTTATTAACACAAAGGCAGACGCAATCATTATAACGTTATTTAAAAGACAATAAAAATTATTCTAAATCTATTAATACCTCTGTGATTTCTACTTCAGTATACTGAAATAAAGTATTATCATGTGGTCAATGTAAAAAGTATTTTAAATGTATATAAAAAAATATAAATTAAACAGATTTAGATATCGTAGGCAATCATAATAAAATCCTTGTTAAAATGTTATAAAAGTTGTTAGAAATTATTATACAACCCGCTACCCTTACCTACCTCAAATTCTACTAATAATTACTACAAAACTACAATTGAAATTTAAAATTTGTATGTTAATTGTTGAAATGTCTGCGTTACTTGTTTGTTAATATTGATTTTCATATTAATAAGTGTCAAAATTACAAGTCCATTATGTTACTCTTATCTAACTAACGTGCAAAAGGACTTAATAGAATAAATAAACAGTGTTCATAGAATAATCTCATGTAGGAAAGACACAATCAGAAAACATTTAAACACAGTGAATATCTTTTCGACTAGGGCCTACTGTAATCAATTATTGCCTAACCTACCTCGGTACTTCGAATATCAGGCAACTGTAATACATTTGACTATTGTCGGTAAAATATTTAATATGAATGAATATAAAGCGTGTCGTTACCATCGCGACAATAAATGAACACACGTCTAACTGTACTTGCCAATAATCATAAAAAAATATTAACGTTAAACAAAATCCATAATAAGAAAAATTTTTTTTCAAACAAACTAATTAAATAAAAAAGAAACAAAATTTGTAACATCCTATACAACTTGCGCCACAGCGTCGTATTACAAGCCTCTCCTTCTAACAGTATGTTTTGTCTCTTTTAAATTCATTCAACCCATTCATATGCTTTGTGACCTTTACAAATGAACTTTACGTTACGCTTTTATAGGTAAGGGTGTTCTAAAATTCTTTGTTTTGCAAAATTTAATAACTCTGTAAATATTGATGCTTAAAGAATTTAAATGTTTAATACAACTTTAAAAAGTTATCCCCCATATGTGTGTTCATTTATTGTCGCGATGGTAACGACACGCTGTATAAAAGTAGAACTATATAAAATTGCTTCTATAATACCTTTGAAAAATCTATTGGAGGCAACTGTGAAGGTAAATGCATAATATTATTTATGCGTACAGGTTCAATACAAATCAATCAACAAATTATTTAACATTTAAATTTCAATCAATACCTGCACTCCTTTAATATCAACAACCTGCGAAATATGAAAGCGTTATTTCAATCCTTTCATATTTTCATTTTAATTTCCAATTAGTAGTACACCACATGAAAGAATTTTATCTGAACAAAAAAATAATGATGGTGACCTTTTTAGAAAGAACAACTAACTCCTGGTGGCTAATTAGAAATTATAAGTATTTACCCCCGGTATATTAATGTCCGGTATCTGAAAATAGATGGTAGTTGAGTAGGAAGCTCCTACTGTGGTAGGTCTTTTGCACGAATGGGCAGGTCCGTCCGGGGAAGTACCAAGACCGGCGTGAAATGGAATTTTTATACTTCTTTATTTCGTTTTGGTGAGCGAGGTAACCGGGGTCCACTTGATGAAAAGGTAGCAACGCATCTGCAACCCTATGGGTGTTGCAAAAGTCTACGGGCGGTGGTTATCGCTTAACGTCAGGTGAGCCGCCAGCTCGCTTTCCACCGTATAACATAAAGCAGAAAGTAAATCCATTTTTTTAATCACTCCAAGTTTACAAAATACGCAAAATTCAATTGCTATTTAAGATGCATTATTAAAAATTGATTTGTCTTGTTTTATTTATTTCAAAAAAGGCTCCTTAAGTCTCATTTTTAGGGTTCCGTACCCAAACGGGACCTTCTTACTAAGACTCCGCTGTCTGTTAGTCTGTCCGTCCGTCTGTCTCCAGCCTGTATCTCATGAACCGTGATAGACAGTTGCAATTTTCACAGATAATTTATTTCTGTTGCGCTTTAACAACAAATACTAAAAAATATATAGATAATGGTACGGAACGCTTCGTATGCGACTCTGGCTCGCATTTGACCGTTTTTTTAAAAGTTAAGCATTGTTCATGCTCGAGAAAAGTTACAGAAATAAGTTGACTTGGAAAATTATTAAAATGCAAACCTTTGGTAAAGCGATATTAGGTAACTGGAACAAGAAATAGGTTTTGAATTTATTGCTTAATCATTTTGAAAGGTAAAAGTAAAAAGAAATCTAATAAAATAAAATTGTTAACCTTTGCCCAGCTCAGTGGCAACGAAATAACAAAAACAAACAAGGTTACTCTCCACTGATTGAGCGATTCTAAAACCGTACTGGATATCAGAAAGCGAACAATTAACATGTTTATTTACAATAGGATAGACAAGGGATTCAAATATTTTAGGTACAAATATTCCTGTTCGTAAGGAATAATTGTAAATAATACTTATGTGCAGCGCGAGGATCAACAGCGTTTAAGAATAGCAGTGGTGTTATCTGCTGCTTTGTTAACTAGTATTGTGGTATGTAACAGCAAACTTCTGAATACAAGGTCCTTCAATTTTTTGAGAACCTCAGTTAAGCTAAATGTTGATATGGTATTGATATAACAAGAAACATTAGGCGTGTGCATTGAAGAAATAAAATTTATCTGAGTTTCAGTTGACGTATAAATGTAGGAGAAATGTAGGACTGTTTAATATTAATAAAGGTTCCTTTACCTTAGATAAATCTATTTCGGGTGTCTGTGAATGATAATATACAGTTATAACTGAAGTTTTTGAATATCATAATTTTTGAATTATATTAATGTAAAATATTTACATGTTTTGCTATCGTATTAAGGCCTGATCACAGTGCGATTAAATTTTAATTGTGTCTTTCCTATGTTTTAATAATTGTAGTAACTAAAGTAAAGTAAAGTTGACACTAATTTTAGTTCCTACAAGATACAATAAGAAAGGTTACATTACCATTCCCTTTTTTATAGTTATCTGCAGAAATTAATAATGCAGTTATTATTGTATAAGACAAAGAGAATGAAAATTAGAGCGATTATTAAGAATAAGAGAACAGAATTTTTCATATTTTATAAGGAACTGTTACCTTCGGGTGCTTAAACTGAAACAAAATAAAACATATTAATAATATAAACTATCGGCAAAATACATACTATTTTAAAATAATTTTTGTATTAGATTAAATTATTTTCACATTACGCACGCTTACTTTTTATATTTACCTTTATAATTTGTATGTAGCGCAGTCCTTATTTATTCTTTTATAATTATGTTTTTATTAAATTTAAGTTATTTAAGAGATTTTTATAATTCTAAATTTGTTTATGTTTAGGGTATTATTGAAATTCACTTATGCCTTATTTCCTTACCGGAGGCACACTGAAACAAAAAAATATGGACGTATACACATGCGCATTAATTAATTACATATGCGAGAAGCCGGCAAGCGAGCAGGAGATTTATCTAATATTAAATGTATATCGTCGCCCATGAACGTATAATTGCAACATTTAACATGCATTGCCAATCATCAAAAGAGTACAGGATAATAACTATAAATATTATTACCATCGTTATTTACAGAAATGTCTCATAACTAGCTCAGCCATGCAAAATTTTTGCACAGTACCTTGAACAGTAACCGAAAGGCAACATAGTATGTCCTCCTCAGTAGATGGCATTATCATCATTTCATCACCCTACAAGTCTATTTTCCGACAATAGCGGCAAACGTAATTGTTAGAAAGTAGTAGTAGTAATTGTTGGAATCGTTAAATTTGATTAATAATTATGGAATTTATGGTGTTCCGATAAAAACACCTTTGTCCGATAAGAACACCATAAATAAACTACTGGAACTTGACGGATTTTTCACACAGTACCGTGATCACTCACCGAATAGTAATATAATAATTTGCAAATTAGTATTTATCAATGAAAGGTAGGAATTACTTTCTTTACCTTACTACTAGCTAGAAGGTAAAAAGAAAACTTATTTTATTAAATATTATACTCACATGTTATCCACTGGCGGCGCTTTACCAACTGAAAATAAGACGTACTTAATTTAAATAAAAAACTTTCTTTTAGTGTTAACAAAGGTAAACAGTGCATGCATAGTGTATTCCTAGTTTTATTCCTAACTTTGTGAACAATAAAAAATTCTTAATTAAATTAAACAATGGAGGCAATTTCACCCATAATTCGTTACCATTATGTCGATGAGTTAATGTTTTTGAACGAATGATTTAGTTGGGTCATAAACAGAACAACGAAAAAAACTGTGCTTTTTATAAAATTATGTGAAAAAATACTTAAAACATTATTATTTTTGGTCAAAAACACAATTAAACTAACATTTTATCAAATAATTTTAAAGTAGCTTTATTATTGCTAATTATATTTGAACAAAAATAAAAATTTTGTCAATTTAATCTCCTTCCGTGGACTGTTTCCAGTCTATGTTTGTAAGTTAGATATTATATTAAAAATACTCTAAACGAAAAGTATCAATTTTTCATCATTAGTTTGGTTAATAATATCCTATAGTTATTAAAAAATTATATTGTGAAAAATAATCATCCTCAATTATAAGAATTAATAAACATAAACATGTTGTTATCAGTGCTTGCGACCCCTTCCGTGGTACAACTAAAATATACATTCGATACAGTATTTAACAAAAGGCAACATGACTTATTTATTTCTGTTAGCAGCACTGTTTAGCTGTTAGTTGAAACTTATCGTTGAAAGTCGTGAATTTGCTTTGTGCGAAAATAAAATAAACTTTTGGTTAATTAAGTAATTTTTTATTATTTATGGCAAAGATCGTTTCAAATTTTCTGTTACGTTAATATTTCGGTAAGTATTATCATGAAAAATACTTGCTGTAATTTTCCTATTGAGATATCAGCGGCCATTGGTAAAAACTCTATAAGACGTTTACTAACCACAAAATTTTGTATTTTGTATAGCATTTTACAACTTGTTTTCCCTTCCGTGGACAAACTTCTCAGTGGACACTGTGTCCACCGAAGGGTAAAGGTCCACGGAAGTGAGTTTTACTTTAAGTTCCTTAACTTGTATTAATACAAATTTTTGTGTTTAGATTAATTAATATATTAAAGCATGTGTTGCTTCGAACCGTCTGAATGCAATTTTTTTAATTTTATGCTCTGCTTTTTTTATTATATTTAATGGTTAGGGTATTATGAGATTTTTCTATATTTCAGGTAAAAATTCTGCGAACCTACAGACCAAAACTCAAGCTAAGTGATGAAGAAAAAGAACAGATGACGTGAACAAAAAAAATTAGTATGCGTCGAGCACGTATAAAACTGGACGCAACTGCTAAGGCGGAAATACGTAAGATGGATAGAGAAAAATACTATAGCAAGAGGTAATATTAAAACGATTGGCCAATATATTCTTAGAAAACAGCGCTAAATAAGAAAAATGTGGCGAGTAAAACCTCGAAAACGCCGTGAGTTATTAAAGATGCGAGAAGCCACCGCTACGTTTCTTGAAGATAATACTCCGCCGATGAGTCATTCTTCATCATCTTAGACCTGTCCTTTATATAGAATCCGAGAAATAAGTCCGAACCTAACCTACCCGAATTTACTGAGTGATGGCCCAAGCATCCAATACAGAAATAAGTCAATGTTTTACTTGATTTTAAATTATAATGGCAAAGAATTGAACAATTTTAACAAAGTTCTATGGCACTACAACGAAAATGATCATGGCAAAGGAGTTCCTGATAGCGTAGGTGGCTGTGTTAAGAGACTGTGATAATTCAGTTGGCTAAAGACACGCCCAAATATGATTGTATTATGACGTGTTTAAAGGAATTTAAAATTATGACGTGTTTGTAGAGGTATAGAGATTGAGAGTAATTTCCAATTCCGATGAGTCTGATATAATTTTTCCTTTGTTGTCAAACTAAGTGACTAAAAAAAGAAAAACCATTTGTCTATGCAAATGATTGTTCTTCATCTTCACTGTCTATACAGTGAACATGAAGATTCTAGATTTAGATGAAAGTTTACATTTTACCTATTGTTACATTTTTTTTTCTTGCCATTTCTAATGACAACGGAAGAGAAATCACTTCCTTGGACAATTTTATTTTATTTTTAAACTCAACAAATGTTGTATAATTTGTTTCGTTTTTTTATTTTAAGGAATTAAGTACAGTGTAATTATTATTTTGTATCAGTTAACAGAGTTCTGAAAGCACAGTTCTTGATTGAAAGCCTAGTTTTATCCTTTCTGTTGATTCTTACGTCTTTTCCGTGGACACAAAAAAATGGAAATGTGGCCTATTTCGTAGAGAATAAGGTTTTGATCTCTGAATTTATTCATAAAATGATCCTTTTGTTACATTTTATAATAAAAGTTGATTTTTTACATAAAAATTAACTTTTTTTATTTCCAAGTTTTGATTCACACTTTTGTTTATGACCCAGTTACTTTATTTTTACTAGAAAATAATTCTTGCAAGTTCACTTTTAAGTAATTATCATCTCCAGCCATTTTAACTGGATTAGTAGCATACACAACTGTGGTAGGACCAGAATTCGTTGTTGCAGGAATGGGCAAGTCCGGCCGGGGAAGTACCACGACCTGACAGGAGACCGGTGTGAAATAGAAGTCTTATACATCTGCGATTCGCCTAATGAGTGAGGTAACCGGGGCCCAATGACAAAAAAACTGTGTGCCATGTATCCCCAAACTCTATGCCTAATCATTTCTTATTAAGAGCTTTAATTGCTCTTGTGTACGTACAACTTACATGACGATTGAACATAAATCATCGGTTCACCTGGTTTATAGACACATGAGTCACGACCGCCACTTGTGTTGTATTAAATATGACTAATTTTTACTCGTTGTTGAAATATGTCATCATAAAATTATCACTGTATTGGAGAATATACAGCGTGTCGTTACCACCGCGACAATAAATGAACACACGTCTAACGCTACTTGACAATAATCATAAAACAATATAAAACGATAAAAAAATCCATAATTATAAAAGTATATTTTTCAAACAAACTAATTAAATCAAACAGAAACAAAATTTGTATCACCCTTACAACTGAGTGATTGGTACAATCAGAGACTTTTTCTTTCGTTGTCACAATGTGGCATTACAAGTCTCTCCTTACAGTATGTTTTATCTCTTTTAAATTCATTCAACCCATTCATATGCTTTGTGACCTTTACAATTGAACTTAACGTTACAGTTTTATACGTAAGGATGTTCTAAAAATATTATTAAAATTAAATAACTCAGTAAATATTGATGTTTAAAGAAAGTAAATGCTTAATACAATTTTAAAAATTTTATCTAACAATGATGTATAAATCTTTATTCAAAACCAGCAAGCTTGGTTGATATTTTGTGCATACTAAAATCATTCACCAATCGTTAGTCTAATGAAGACATTTTTTAAACATATTACAACAGTTCTTTTTCCATTTATTTTCTTGCTTTCTTTTCAAACTCATTCAGTTAAGGGTTGAATTTTGAGTAATAACAAAATAAAATAATAAGTTGTGCAGTATGAGAATGAACGTCTACAGCTCCCGTGGGGTTTCAGGTGCTTTCTCGACCTCTAAAATAATGGCCCCAGTTACCTGTTCCACTAAAACACAAAAGTACACTACTACTCTTTCTTATAGCCGTAGTTCTTTTTTGGATGAGCCCATCCAAATATTTAACTAATATTTAACAGCGGCATCTCCCAGGTTATTTATTACTATTATTATTATTTATTTATTTATTTATTATCTACCAGGTTCCACGAAGTTTTCATTATAGTATTACAACATAGGTTATTTTAATTAAATTTAATTAAATAATAAAATAAAAGAAATAAACAATTTTAGGACTCATTTTTACACAAGGTTCACTAGTCCCAAACTAAGCAACGCTTGTACAATGGGTACTAGATAACTGATATACATACTTAAACATACTTTTCTTTTGTAAATAAATTATCATACAAACACTCAGACACTAGAAAAACACTATGTTCATCACACAATATTTTTCCAGTAGTGGGGATCGAACACACCTTCTGGCACAGGAGGCAGGTACACTACCCACTACGTCATTCGGGTCATCATCGCTACATGAATCAGAATAGATAGAGCTAAGATAACCGTAAAATATTCACCGGTAACGGGCCGATAAACATAAGGCATGGGAAGCTATTTCTTTCATAGCATTCTAGCTCAATGAACTAGTGCTTTTACTATCTACTATAAAAAGGGACAACGGCCAAACACTACCACTATAAGTGAATAGTCTTCTTTTCTTTCTATTTCCTTTGTCCAACGCAAATTGGGGTCGGCAGAACATGTACTTACCTTCCACTTTCCTCTCTCAGTGGTCATCACAATTCCTTTTCATAACTTTTAATAATCACTATAAGCGAATAGTGTTACTTATAAAAAGCCTGTATATCTTTGAGTAGTAGTGGTCACTGACCTGTAAACTTTTCGACTTCACCATTGTTGTTTGTTACCACAGTGGTACCTCCGGATTTTTTCAAATTCCCATCTTTATCTCTGACAAAGCCTGAGGACGATTGCACGACAATCCCGTTGTACACCTCGTTGGGGTTCACTTTTCTATTGATAATATCATCTGCACTTGGAATTTTTATAGGAGGGATCGTCGGAAATACAGGATGGAATTGCGGGAAGTTAGGGAAATTTGGTAATTGAATGGTTGGGAAAGAAAGCTGGGGAAACTGTGGAGGTGTTTGAAACATTTATTATTTATTATAGACTCATTATAAAATTTACATCAGTACGATGTATTCTTGTTATATCATTCACATTTAAGAAAAATAAAAAATTTTAATAATTTTGTCAAAATAGGTATAAAATAATAACCGTGTTAAATCTGTTAGATTGCAAACAAAATGGATTAAAAATTATGAAACCACAAATGTTTCTGTAAATATTAAATTGTTATCATACCTGTGGAAAAGGAAACCTGAAATAAAAAGTAATGTAATTAAAATCATTCTTCAAACGAGCTACGCATGTTCAATAAATAAAATTTAACTTATATCTATTCCTATATATTCTATTATCGGACCAAGGTATATCTTTTCCGATAAATTTTCCGTCGCTTTTGGTATTACCGATACCGTAAAACTGAGTTTTTAAGAATAAAAATTTAAAAGGAAAAAATAACCATGGCCGTAATGGATCAAGGGCAGTTAAATTAATTAGCGATAGAAACTTCAACTAGATAATTTTTAAATTTGGTCTTAAAAGTATTCTTAATTTTTTAATAACTTTTATTTTAACTCTGGTAGGGCAACCTGGGCATTCGTGATAACATCTTTGCTGTTGCAAGAATGGCCAGGTTTTTCCAGGGACAGTACAATTACCTCACAGAAGACCGGTGTGAAGTGAAAGAACTTCTGCATTTCGTCTGATGAGTGACGAAACCGGGGCCCATTTTATTGAAAGATGAAAACGCATCTGCAATCTTATTGGTGTATCAGATGTCCAAGGGCGGCGGTTATCACTTAACATCGCTAGCTCGCGTGCCACATTCACTTCATAGTATAAAACAAAGCCGTCCCGCCGTGTGTCTGTCCCTATATATGTTTAGATCTTTAAAACTACGCAACGGATCTTGATGCGGTTTTTTTACTAGTTAGAATGATTCAAGAGGAAGGTTTATATGTATTATACGTTGCACCTATGTGAAGCCGGGGCGGCTCGCTAGTCTTACATAAAAAAAATAAACTGTCCGTTCATAATGTAAAACACGCATTGATTTTTAAGTCAACCTGTGCAGACACATTTTTTGCCAAACATTTTAGACGCTCACCACCAAAGATGTTTTGGGCGATTCGCGAACCATTGAGATTATCCTCCGTGTGAGAAACACAGAAGATTGAATACATTATACTTCACACCGCCTTTCTATGAGTCCCGGTCGAGTTGGCCTATTCGAGTACCAGGAGCCGAGGAACATTTGTGATCACCCCATATGGCTAATATTTTAGAATAGTAACCAATAACACGAAAGCAAACGAAAATTTCATCGATATCGTTAGTAAGCGGATATTTGTCCGCCAATCCGCGGTGGGAGAGCGTCCTAGACTATGCCCTAATACCCTCTGTACAGAGGAGGTTCTTGCCAAGCAGTGGGACTTGTATAGGCTGTTATTTTTTTTTACTATCATTTCAATAATCAATAATGACAACATTATGGGGATAAACTAAACACTATTTAGAGTTCAACCCTGGTCTATGATATTTCAAAAACTTCAAAAGTTTACAAAATGTTGTGTAGTCGATACTTACCCTTGAAATGGATTATTATTATTATTACTTGGTTCTGGATCAGCTGCAAGAAATTAAAAAAATGGATTTCATATGGATATTTCATAAAAATTCGTTTATGTAACATTTTTACATATTTTATTATAGGGGTTTTTACATTAATTCCTTTCCCTTTTTTCTCTTCCATTTGAGAATCTCATTATTTTTTATTTGTCGGCAGCGTAAGGCCGGCTTTATCAAATTATGCATTTAACAAAATTATGATTGGGACGGGCTCCCTTTAGAAAATTCCGTTTTCTTCGTCAGGCTAAACATTCTTTGGTATCAACTTTTAATTAACATTTGATCAACTCTTTCTCTCTGAGAATTTTGAAACTACAACTTAATTTTAATGCTAGTATTAATCAATCTCTCCGATAAACTTTCAAAATTCTAGATAATGTAACCAAAACTATCGTTGATTAGTTATGAACAATTTAACATTAACTACTAAAAACCAGATATTTTGATCTAGAACTTTTTACGCAAACATCTAAGTTTGCACATCGAATACGCTTTACAAAAATTGTATGCACCTATTTAAATATAATCGCACGAATGTGTTTCGAACATTCTGTGTCAACAAATGCAGTAGCTTTTATACCAGACACGCTTGTAAGAATATGATAATATACTAATGAAAATTTCCAAAAATATGTCAAAACATTTTAGACTTTACATAGAATATTAGAAATGTTTTGATGATCGCATATACTAACGCTTAATGACTACCTTCTCTATAATAAATTATTCTTATTTCCTTTACCACTTTATACGTCACATACTAAATAAGTTGTTGTTTTTGAAACTGTTTATGGAATAAGAAACAAATTATGTATACACATTAACGGCAGATTTGCAGTGTTAGATTTGAATGTCCATGAATGCTGCAAACAAGACTTTAAAATTGGATAGAAATATTTTGTCTTTAACTTTGACATTGAAAAGAAACAATTGATCCCATGTTTTAATTTGTTTTTTAAGTCATTTGTTAAACGGTAAACGTGCTCTTACACCCGTGCTCAGAGAGTTCAATTAGTACCTAACAGGTTTTCAATTTGATCAGTCTTTAATGTTTAGGAATAAGACTTCGCTTAACAAACAAAATGATTTGATGCTAGCCCAACGCTAATTGTCGTTCTCGTGTTCTACAATTACTTATTTGAGTAAAAATTTAAAAAATCTAAATATAAATAAAGGAAATTATGACTCACCATTTACGCCGATAATCGCCATTAAAGCGACAGTTAGCCACAAAGATGCCATTTTCCGGTAGCAGCTGAGGAGAATTCTTTCCGAAATTCGTAATGTTATAAGCGATGCTCATAAAACAACACTGAAAGCCAACGTGAGGGATACTCATTTAAGTATTATTCACAAGTTGTTGTTTTAAAACGTCCAAGCTGCGCAAACAGTGAGACGAATTTTCTAAGAAACCTATTGAAAAGTCGGTCCGCTGAAATACATACGCAACAAAAGGAATACAAAACAGAATGAAGTCCGTAAGAGAATGTGTATGTGATTTTGGGCGAATCGCTGGGTGATTCGAACACTTATTTTTTCACAGATAAAGTTTCATTTACTGTAAACCGCATCGGGATCCAGGCGGTGTACTAAACTTGAAACCTTTTCTGTTAATACTGAGGCGTGTAACGAAACCGAAGCTAATGCCTTTCGTGACTTTGGAGCGCAATAAAGACAATGAATGTGTTTTTCTATCTGCACTAAATACCTCTGCAAAGTATGTATATGAATGCACTACTTGCTCGGTGTAGCGTCACACTATATATTATGCCTCCTATATATTGAACTAGCGACCCGCCCTGGCTTCACACGTGTGTAATGTATTATACATATATAAACCTTCCTCTTGAATCACTCTATCTAGTAAAAAAACAGCATCAAGATCCGTTGCGTGGTTTTAAAGATCTAAGCATACATAGGGACAGGCAGACAGCCGGATGACTTTGTTTTATACTATGTATGTAGTGATTGGAGATACACAAATCAGAGAATTGTAAATTAACTTTATAAGAAGATTTCTTGTGGTAACGCGAACTCTACGCATTGTTAAATAAAATATTTTCAGTAATTATCGCATTCAATTTATCTTGGAATAGAGTACGGTATAACATGCCCATGGAATCTAAAAGTGTCCATTATAGTTAAATAGTTAATCATAATATCGTCAGTTGAAATATCAATTAATGTAACCACCAAACGGCGACTTTACAGTAGAGGCAAAAAGCTAAATTACGATTCACAAAAATAGTTGAATCTTTTTCGTACTTATCATATACATTGAATAAATTCACATTTATGATGGGAAAATCAGATTCCCCCAATTGTTCCGAATGCGGCGTGGTCGAAAATGTCTACCATATTTTGATGGAGTGTTTGTTTGTTTGTATATTCTTTATTGTACTAGAAGTTTGTACAAAGGCGAACTTAATGCTAAATAGCATTTTCTTCCAGTTAACCTTTGGTGGTTTAGTACAATTTACGGGTAGTAATGCTAAAATGACATACAAGATTTTTAGTGTCTATCATAAAGAATATACATAGAGTGTGTGCGAAATGAGCCGTATAGGAGACAGATATTTCATTCTCAAAATATTTCTGCTGCATTTAATGTTGGCTGGTGTAACAGTGTTTTGTCTCTCCCTCTTTCAGCGGAAGCCAAATTACTGTACCGGCTGACACAAGCAGGAATCACGAAAAGAACCGTGTAAATACTTGTTGATTATGCTATTGTTTAATATTATCGTGTTATTTAATATTGTATTTGGTTCTTATTATGGGGGTTACGTCTTCAATTGTGAACCTCCATCAAATAAAGAAAAAAAAAAAGCAGCATACTCTGGCCATGTGGGTTATTAAGGACTTTCTGAGGATGAAAATTAGCTATCACAGTGGAGTTGTCCTTGTCTACCATATTCTGATGTATTTCACTTCGTTTATAGCATGTTTTTAGATTATTTTTGTAATCTTGGGTCTCCTTTTCATTCTGCATAGAAAAATTACGGAAAAGACGTTCACTCAGATAGTCATGTGAATTGTCTTCACAATATTATACGTAAAGACGGTGCAGTTTAGTCACGTTAAGTGTGACTACTAGAATATTGAGATAAATATAATGGTAGTACTGGCAAATCTTCTATGTATGACTCAGTTTCACATTGGGCCAAATCCGTCGTAATCTAATACATCACAAAAATGAATGCAAATTATTAAAAACTGTCGGATTTTTTTTAAAGTAATCGCCATTTTTTTTTGCAGCATATCGACGTTTTAAAGATACCAATCGATAAAGCGAAACATTTGCAGTCGAACTGTATATTTAACTGCATTTCGTCATTTTGGCGGTTACATTAATTGATATTACAACTGACGATATGTAATTTACACAGATTTAATGTCGTAAATACTGGATAAATAAAAAAAGCTTTTTCTAAAATATTATTTCAAATTTTTACGATTTTCGACAATCATGAAAGATTTCAACATCCGATAAGTATTATATATTTAATTTAAATTATGGTATGGTATGTAGGCACAGACACGCAGCTTTTATATTACCTAATTTCGTTTCTTTACACTTGGTTTCCATTCATATTCATGTCAACTCCCTGTGCCCTGGATCTTTTTCACTATAAAAAAAATAATCAACTACAATCATAAAAAAATCCAAAATTACTAATAAGTGCCAATTTATTTTGTGGCATAAAGGATGAAATGTTAAAACAAGGATATGGACTCACCGATCAATTGTCGCAAACAAGCTACCACAAATCATATTTGCCGATTTAACAGAATTATTTTAAAAATCATGTAACGAGTTGCAATGTAATGAGTCTAAATGTGTTTATTTATTAAAGTACTTGAGTAGAAATTACTCGTAAAAGAAACATCCGGGACAATCTCGGAGCACGTGATGCCCTGCAGAAAAACGAGTTGGAATCAGAAGATTATTTTAATAGTAAAGTTTAAAAACAAATCCTCTAAAGACACTTTCAAAGATATCCTCTAAAAACACTTCCAAAGATATCTGAAGTTTTCCAAATCAAAAGTGACCAATCAATTTACTGGGATAAAGCTGAAAAGAAAACGGATCTCTGAATCTTTTCTTTAAAAATGGTTTTAATAATAATTTCAGTAAATACATAGTCATAATGACGTCTTTTACAATTACAATGTAAAAGATAATATTGAAAATACTTCTTAATAATCTTCTTGCATTCAGGGGCGAAATGCACATTTAATACATTTTTGCTCATTTAACCCTATTGGGCAATAGCCAATTTTAGGTCCCGAGAAAGAATAACATGAATAATCTTTGTGGGATCCTGTTTGCGGACAAGTTAGCAAAATGTTGATATATTAATAGTTTCAAGCCACACTAAAGTGTATTGAATATCTATATAGTATAGTGCTATATAATTTAATGATAGAGTTTTGCCATTGTGCGTGCAACACAGTACAACTGCTGGATAGATTTAAACTAATTCTTTTAAGTTTTATTTTTAGATACTTAACCCTTATTCAAAAACTATAAAAATCGTGATATCTTCATTTAATGTTAAATTATAAAGTTTTAAAAAACAGCGTCTTTTATAAGCTCTACGTGTGTCTTGTCATGAAAAAGTAGAGCATAAATTCAATGTGGCAAGACACTAATAATAACAACCTGAGATGACCGGAGTCGAAGCGGATATTGTTTGGGGTCAATGTAGGAGGTGAGGCTACATAATGCTTTCGTTTGATTCGTCACTTAGAACAGGTTCCAGCATAATCGATGCAGTTCCGTAAGACTGAGCTCATCTTTCTTAAATTTACTCTTTACGTAACATCACTTACCTTACAATGGTATACAGTAATGCGTTTTACAATTATACTAAAGGCACTACAATAATACTTTGATAATTCACAGGGAATTCTTCTAGATTCCGTTCAAAGGTCATAATTGACGCAAACAAAATAGTTAACGATTTTCATGATGACAACAATTTGCGCTTAATAACATACATATCATATGGGTTTAACTTTTTTCTCCAAATCCCATTGTTTTTTATTTTAAAACTTCTTTATTCAATTTTTTTCTTTATCTTCTATTTTGAACATATATATGTTATATGATAGCTTATTTATATGTTCTAAATTATGATATTTCATATTTGGTACTTACATACTTGCTCCTACATCAGATTGAAAGGCGAAATTGTGTGTAATTCTTTCAGCGTATCACTTAAGATCCAATTAGATAAAGTAAAAGTAACTGTTAAATGTTTCATTATTACATAATTTATGTAGATTTAAGATTATAATAATTCTAAAGTAAAATTCATGAAATTATGAATGCTGAACTGAACTTATATAATAACTGGTATTACCACCACTCAACCGTGCTCAAAAAAATATCTATTTTAGATATTTCTTTTCCTCTAGACTGTTTTCCGTTAGTGACTTCGATAAATATGATACAAATCTAACAGATTTATATCTTAATCGCATTTAGAGGTCAATAGTGGGGATTCAAACATATTTCATATTTTTGTATTCATAACTTTATTTCGTTTCAAGCCTAACTTCCATAAAATACTCTAAATTTGTCATAATCAATCACCACTAAAGCTTGCAGATGATTGTTATTACCTTTTCGGTTTCCTTGTACATATTTTCAGGATGAAAAAAAAAAAGCATTAACCTATAAATTTACCTCGTTCTCAACTGTTGTGACAAGATGACTCCGTGGTGCAGCCAAGGTATTGGCTTCGGCGTCGGGGGTCGTGGGTTCGATCTCCACAATGTACAACTATATTTTGTGAGACCCACAGATAAATGTTTCGGAACTGGGTGTTTGTCCACGTGAAATTTATGTTTGGAAAATGTCCTTACAACATAGGATAATGTTAACCTGAAGTAAGGGTAATGTTTTTAAAAAGAAAAACAATATGTTGTTAACAAACAAATAATCAGCACATTTAATGCGTACTTACCGTATTACGGTAGCGTTTTTCGACTTTCACCCACGTCAAAACTTATTCCATCGTGTTAAGACATTATCTTATCCTTTAAACAAGTAATTTATATATATATATATATATAGTCCTTTTCCATAACTTGTTTGATCCAGCAAAATTAGAAGAGTACTTTGTTGAATTGATACGCCCGTCGAACCAACGCGCCTTCCGCTCAAACCATTTCGGCCCCCTTCCGCGCTGTCGTTCCCGACTCACAATCGGACGGCGGCTCAGACATGGAGGTCG